AAATAAGAGTGAACAACCTACAACTGCCCCTAATCTTGTTACTCAACCATGTTTGCAGATGCAGGAAATATGCATTAATTTGGCTGGATATGGCAAACACTGGAACTCTCGTGACTTCGGTCCTTCATCCTTCTTCACCATTCGTCGGGTCTCTGTTTCGTCGTGTCATAGGCTCTTATTACTTCCGACTGCGAAACGATTCCATTTTCATCTTGCGAGAAAGCGTATCCATCTGGAAGTGGAGAGAGTTGGGTTGTACACGAGAAACAGTGCGGATCGCTCCAACGCTCTTTAAATGCTTTGAACGCATCGTGGAAATGAAATAACAGGTTAGTCCTCAACCTGCAACGGTTCGTATCGTGACCGCTCAAAGTTACAATGGCACTGGGAAAAAAAAGGGATTTGTGACCACTTATTGACTGTTGCAGCATCGTCATGGTCATGTGATCAAAATTGAAACGCTTGGCAACTGGCTCATATTTATGTCCGCTGCAGGGTCCTGGGGGTTGAGCGATCACCTCTTATGACCTTCCGAAAAGCAAAGTCAATGGGGGAGCCAGATTCACATAACAACTGTGTTGCTGACTTAATGTCAACTCGCAAAGCATCCCTGGCCTGCTCTCGAGTTGCCATAGACAAGGGGGATGGGAAATGAACTTTGCAGCTACAGCAAGGGAGCACTTCAGTCAAAACAAAAAGCACATTCCAGCCATCTCCCTGTCAAGGCCATCTCCATGGTTACCCACAGTGGCTGGAGGGGAGTGATCTCTATAACCTGCGAAATTTTCCCTACAACCCACGAAATTGCTTTGTTGGAGAATGTGACTGATGACACACCTTGGGGGGAGCTGGAATGTAAATTAAGTGAGGTCAGAGTTGGCTTCACTTGGAAAGTGCGAACATGAAGCTCCTAATAAATAACTGGATTTCTTTTGAAGCTTGGCTCGAGGCTCGTGATTTAATTAGGGCGTCAGTCAGAACTCTGACATCTAACAATTGCTGTGACTTGCTTAACAATTATGGCAAGAAGGTAACAATAGAACTCAGACATATATGCCATTTCACAGTGCTTTCCAGCACTCTCTAAGCAGTTTACAGAGTCAGCCTTTTGCCCCAACAATCTGGGTCCTCATTTTACTGTACTGACCTCGGAAGGATGGAAGGCTGAGGCAACCTTGAGCCGGTGAGAATTGAACTGCCGAATTGCTGGCAATCCGCAGTCAGCAGAATTAGCCTGCAGTATTGCATTCTTACCACTGCACCACCACAGCTCTGAAAAGTTGTAAAATGGGGCAAAACTCACTTAACAACTGTCTTACTTTGCAACAGAAATGTTGGGCTCAATTGTGATTGTACGCCAAGGACTGCCTGCACCGAGAAACATTTTGTTCAGGCTAACCTTAGAGACTCGCACAAAAAAAGGAAGGAAAGGATAACAGATTTGGCGAGCAACAGTACTCTGAAGCACATTTATTGATAATGTGACATGATTAAAAAAGTCTGATTCAAGTTTAGATCCTTTTAAATGCCAAATTCCAAGAAGGAATTAGAGTGTCAGGACATTTGACCCACTTTGGATTAGATCTAGTCCAAATTGAGGTCTGTTGGCACAACAGGTTATCACTGGAGCATCCAAACTGTTCATGGAGGTCAAGAGATTTTATTTATTAATCGATTCAATTTATATGTGGGTCATTTCACTGTTACAATGATTCTGGGTGGCTTACAGAATAATAAAAAGTAAAAAAAAAAGTTAATTGTAAAACGAGAGAAATAGGACATTAAAATCCAAGAGGGCCAGCGACACAGGGTGGGAATCTTCTCTCTATCCCATTAGCCACTCCCAGGACCAGATTTTTAGGCTCTGCTGGAAGGTCAGGTTTATGGGGGATGACTTCACCTCCAGCAAGAAAATATTCCAAAGAGATGCTCTGAATCCATGTGAGACAGATGAAGGTGAGAAGAAGTGAAAGATTTCACAGAGACTCTTTTGTTAAAGAGACCCTTCTCAATTTTCTTTTATTTACCCTTTATTCTCTTTTATGTAATTAGTCCCTCAATGATACATTGGGAGATTAATTTTCTTTAAAATTGAATTTTTGAAAATTTCATTTGCTTATTTGTTTGAAATATTTACCGTTTGCTTTTTCACTTTCTAAACCTTCAATGTAGCTGAAAATCAGTTACACGGCAGTAGGCAGATGAGACTAGAATAATATGTGAGCTAATCGGCATGTCGGCAAAATTTCTGATAAGACTGTGCTGTTATTTGCAACCTTTGACTTTGTGTTGCTTTCTAGCACACCTCAAATACTTACGAAGCAAATTTTGTTGCACAGATTCGGAGCGGTACAAGTTGACGTGGTTTTTCTTAAAGACGTTTTTCAATAGCTGAGCTCTTTCAGTTAAGCTAGGAAACAAAAAAGGTGACAAATTTATGAAATGCACTAAAATTTAGGGTGGGTGGGGCAGAAATCCAGACTGCAATAACAAATATTGAACAGAATATTGGAAATGACCAATGGCAGCAATCACATATTTAACATTAATATAATGTTAATAATAACATTAGCTACTGTATATACAGCTACTCAGGGACTGAAAATGGATTTATTTATTGGCAACGCTACTTCAAGAAAAGTTTTTTCAGCTCCTATTATTAAAGCCAGTAGATTTCTGTTACTAGTTCTATATTTGACAATGATCAGGCTCTTCATAAGTATTGTAACTGGAAAAATGATTATTATTCTTGTTTACTTTATGCTTTAAATCAGTGTTGTAGTTTTAGCCTCAAAATTTAAGGCACCAAGCAAACTTTTAGTATGTTTTACAGTAGGATGTAAATACGTTTCTGGCTGACGATTTAACGAATAAATCAGAGCTTTTTAATGTTATCTTAAACATTTGAACGTAAGGACTTAATCAGCAAGGCCTGCAACTAATGATGGTCAGATTGCTGTCATGGAGGGCATCCGGGAAAAAACTAGGGAGAGAAGTAATTTTGGATCTTTGGTGCCAATGCATTCCCTTCACATCATTTGCAACAACTTCATGTTATTGTCAAATTTTCAGGGATGGATCCCTGAATTCCCTGGGTGAAGCTTGGGGATGGGGGCAGAGAGCAGGCCGCAAGCAACTGCAAAATGGAGAAAGGGAAGTCAAACTTCACTGAGTGAACAAGTCTCTTGGAAACCCCTGGACTTAATCTTAAGCAATCAAAATATAGAAATGAAACAAATTACATGATTGGGGGAGTTGTAAAGTTGTAAAGAATGAAAATAAACACAGGTTTGGAAAACACAGGTGAAACCCCTTAACTGCTGCAAGGTATTTTATTATACCTATATTGTGTTCGTAGTGAGTCTACCGTAATCTTGCAAAGGGTTACGAGGGGAGTTAAAGATATTAAAATGATAAATGGTATTTAATTATCAACTATCACAGCAGTAACATCAATTTGAATTGTATGTTTATGAAATAATTACTGTTAAGTGCTCCGTAGCTACTTAGATATTATAGTTACTCTGTAACTATATTACTATTATAATATATTATATCCTAGTTACTCTGTAACTACACTGTTGTTACTGTAACTACTCTGGGAGAGGAAGCCAAGAGAAAAGGGAGAATTAACACTACATGGAAATAATGGTAGGGAAGAAATAATACTGCAAGGAAAGAGTTGATTTTTTTTTTTTTTTTACAAAAAAATTAAATTCGCAAGGTAAAGGGCTACTCTGAGGTATATTCAAATGCATCCTTGTGTGCAGCCATTTGAAGCCCCTTGTTTCCAACAGCTCCTTCTCTTCTGATTAGGAATTCAACTACTTCCCTTCCAGGGCCACTGAAATATACATATCATAATTACCTATTAGTAGAAATAAGCTCCCTTAACTGACTAGATGCAATAGGGACAGGCTACAAGCTAATCCAAGCTGCTCTCAGCACGCTGAACTAGTTGCATCATTAGTTAAAGTGGATATTGAATTAATTGGAAGAGAATGCTTAACTAAGGCAATATTTGGTTCATTTTATGAGCAAAATTAATCCAAGAACCTTTACGACGTGGATTTCAGACTCCAAGCGATGAGGTCAACTCAGGCCAAACACATAAATAGAATGCTAATATTCAAGGGTTGGGGAAATTACAGATAATCATATTCTACCTTTTTCCGTGCAGAACAGCTCCCGGATCTTGTGATTTTGCTTCCAACTCCTGAACTTCATCTACTAAGGTCTTAAATGCTGCCCTCTTCACTCTAAAAGAATGATTTATATATCTCAGTTAATTCGTTTTAAAATTCTAAATCTTTTTATCTGTCTGCAAATATCAGTATAAAATTAAATGTAACCCAGTAACGTTAAATTCAGTCCCACAATAACATTATCTAAAAAAGAATATAAATTATACTATAGTGGAGCCCACAGAGAACTCAGATTATTCTTTCATTTTTGAGATTAACCATTAGGGAACCAGGGAGTAATATTTTCCAAAGAAGCATTGTATCCATACAGTATATTTGATTTTAATATTTTATACTTTCATATAATAAAACTGTGATATACAGTATATATGTTGTTCTCCTCTGAGGAGTAATCTCAACTAAAAGAACAATCTGCAAAAGCAGGTCATAATTTAGTAGACTAAGGAGTCAATTCTCTATACATGTGTAAATCTAATCGAGCTTGTATTTAATTAGGAAGATATGCCAATAATTATACTGCATCATTAAATGCACTTACTTAGGAATACATCCTGTTGAACTAATGGGATTTTGTCCTGAGTAGCTGTGAAGCCTGCACTGTAATTTTAGGTAATTAACAAATGGACAGATTAATTATTTGGTAGACTATATATTAATTATATCATACTTACACTTTATATACTACATCAAATATCAGTGCTGTCACTGGAATAATAAATAAGCCCATCCAGAAGATTCCGGAGCTGAACAACATCACGGCCTATATAGATTAAAAAAACAACAACCTATACAATGAAACATTTGCAATGATGGTAAATAAAATCTCTGCGGAAAGCTCAATCATAAATCACCTATGTAGAAAAAAATTAGTACCCACAGAAGAGAATATTTATAGCTGAGCGTTGAACTGTGGGGAGGTCCTTAGTCCTTTCTGAACTTGGTTGTTTTACTTCCAGACATTTCATTACCCAACTACGGAACATCATCAGTGCTAGAGTTTGTGGAGAGGAAGAGGAGCAGGAGGACAACCATGGGGTCCTTGGTGCTTTCTAAACTCGGTTGTTTTTTTGCATAAGCCACTTAGGTAGTATCATCTGTGCTAGATGGAAGTGGTGTATGTGTGAATGTATGTATTTGTGTACACACACAGAGAGAGAGAGTCCATCTCATCCCTTCTACCATTGATGGTGTTACCTAGTTGGGTAATGAAACATCAGCAAGAAAACCACAAACTCAGAGAGCACCAAGGACCCCACAGTCCTTCCTCCTCCTCTTCCACTCGGCAAACCCCTTTTCTCCTCTAGCCCTGAAGATGTTACCTAGTCGGTTAATGAAATGTCTGCAAGGAAGCCACCAAGCTCAGAATGCAGCAAGGATCCCACATTAAAAAATGAGCTCCCAGCCATAAAAATGTATTTTTTTTAATTTTCTCCAGAGATTCAGAAGCGAAGTAACTCTTCCTAGCTGCAGGAGAGTCTGTTTGTGACTGGTGGGGTGTTTCATTGCCTGGAGAGGAAAACCGTAAGGCTGTTGTGGCGTTGATTATCCCAGAAGTGGAGGTTTTGTATAGGCTTTAGCTAAAAGAGGTATTTTTTTCTCCTGAAAAAATTTACATGCTTACTGGCCTTTAAAATTCAATAGAAAATCTCTGTGGGCATCTAGTGCAATGTATTGTTTCGTCATCAGAATTTTTTTTTTTTTCAGGATTGCCATTTTTAATAGTTTGTTAAGCCACCCAGAATCAATGGCCAGTGGGTTGTTTTAGAAACTAAAATAATAATTAAATGCTTTTTTGGGGGTTGGGGGTTGGGGGGAATAGGCAACCTGTTTGGATACAATTTTAATCTTTGTTCTAGGGTTATTTTTAATGTTTTTTAAAAATGATTTTGATTACCTTGTAATCATTACATCGTTTTATTGTTGGATACCATTGCTTTGAAAAATGTTGTGCAGTAGGATAAAATATGCCAAATAAAATCTGTAAAACAGTTGCTGGTAAACTGAGAGTTTTTTTTATTTACCAGCTCATAATCCTTTATTCACTTTCCAGAGAAGTAGATAGATTACCTGAAAGCACTATAATATTTGAAAATACAATTAAGCCCTTCACTAAAAGCAGAAGTTTATCAGTGAAATTTTCAAAGTATTTTGAGTAATTTAAAAGCTGAGGGCTCATTACATGCACTTGCACTTCTTATTAGCTCCAGGTGTACATATGACAATGCAAATTTCAGGTTCCGAGATGTGATAGTATGCTACGAAGTACACACTAACAACACTCAAAATAAACGCATGTTGGGAATGAGTTTTTGGCATTGTATCTGTTCAAAATCATGGGAACAGATGGGTCTCACTTCATCAAATGACAAACAGGAAATTTCCATTGCAGGAGCTTTTAAACTTTCTGCTGAATAAGTGGGAGGCCTGCTAATCCCCTGGAGCAGCAGTCTGGAGGCCCCCCAAAATCACTCGACAGACAGACAGACAAGGGACCCTTTTTCCTGAGGCTCAAGGAGCAGGAGGCGATGGGGCAGGCGAGTAAAATCAGGGCCCCTCTCCTGTAGCAGTGATACAGTTTGCGCTTGGAGAATGCAGTTAGCGCCTTTGCCCTTCATTAATCACAAAATGGTAAATTATTTGGCCCAGATGTAAATTGCATTTAAAAAAAAAAAAGAGAGAGAGAGAGAGAGAGAGAGAGAGAAAGTGACGATGCAGTGACTTTACAGGTGGAGTGGAAACTATGCCCTGTGATTTAATCAGAGTATTATTAATGAGAAACTAAGGATGCTCATAGAATTAGATCCATAACAGGTGAAAGAAAAGAGGACGATTACTTTTCTAAGTGTGTTGCAAAAGTGCTGAAGAAGAAAGGCCGAGTAGCTTCTAATGGGGTGGTGGGGGAAAGCAAGCCAAGAGAAAATGATAAATACGACTGATTTCTGAATTAAACATAAATGCAAAAAACAGCCAGGGGATGGGGGATTTAAATAGAGTTCCTTTCTTTCTTTCTTTTCTTTCTTTTTTTTAAATGGTTCTTAATGACTTTTTAAAGTTAGGGAAACACCAAAGAACCATCCCCCTTGTCTAAGCCCCCTTGTATTAAAAGTTGCTTGGTGAAACAGCAGAATTGATAATGTAGGTCCCAGGATGTTTAATTCTGAGCATTGTGATGCTAACGATGGACGAAGGAACAACGGGCGCCCACATTCACTCAATCCAGCCCTTTGGCTTCACAAATGAGCAACCTGAATTGAAGGAAGGGAAAAAAAAAAAAAACCCACCACCAAACGTTTTTCTGCATCATATTTGAAAGCCTGTCAGATTTTGTTCCCCCCCCCCCCGCCTTTTGCAGAGTTAATCCAAAACTAAAAGATTTAAAGCTGACATTCACATTAAAGACAGAAAGCTTCTTTGTATGTGTGTGGGTGAAGAGGGAGAAACACACAATCCCACGGAGGTATTTCCTTCCTTTCTGTTTGGGGCTGTGGGGGGGGGGGGGGAAGAAAAGCTCCCTCTGGGCTCAGCTCAGAACCCATTTTGTCTCTAACTTTTCACATCTCTCTGCCCGTAGACGGGTCAGCTGAGAATATAGCAAACGGATCCAGGGCAGACAATGGCCGCTAACAGGGACAGCCTGTTCTGGGGTTGGACTCCGTCTGCCTTTTCGCGATTTACAAATTCATCGGCCGCCCGCTGCCAAGTCTTCTGGCCCTGGCCCCTTTCGGCCTTGGGAAATCAAACGCAACCTTGCTGAAATGTTGGCATGGGACTCCCCCCGCAAAACATAACGGAGAAATACAAATTGCCAGAGGGTCGGCCTGAGTTGAGTCGAACGTCGTTAGAACCTGCTGGATGTTAACGGGCGAAAGGGTCCCTCTTAAATTTATTATCAATTAAAAAGCGATTTTCAGAAACGTGCAGGAAGCATTTGGCTCAGTGGCTTTGACCCTTTCACCAAACTTGGTCTCTTGTTTACGTCTTAAGATTTTTTTATCCTGCCTTCGTGACATTAAAAGACACTCAGGAGAGCGAGCAGGGGTCATACTTCTTCCTCCTGTTTTTTCCCACAACAATCCTGTGAGGTTGGTTGGGCTGAGACAGAGTGACTGGCACAAGGTCACCCACCCATGGCTAAGGCGGGACTAGAATTCACCATCTCCTAGTGATTGGCCCGAACTCACCCAGCTGGCTTTCATGCTTAAGGTGGGACTAGAATTTACCATCTCCCAGTTAGAGATACTCTCTTAGTATCTCTACCCAATCAGAAGTCAAGGGGATGGGACCCTGGAACCAAAACTTCAATGGCAATCCTGACCTTAAAGGAACAGCTTATGCCACGAGGTGCTTTTAGCCTCCATATAACTGGGTTTCATAAACTCATGAAAATGATCCTGTTTTAGATAGGCACCTATCTGTGCAATTGGACTTTTCCTTTTCTTGCATCGCGGATTTTTAATTTTTGATTGTGAGCCACAATTTTAAATTAGCTGGAAGATGGATTCTACTGAGATGATTTGAGGAATGACCTATTTTTTATTCTTTTACCATTATCAATTACTTTGATTTTTGTACACTGATCAACCAAAATGTCCCAAAGGTGCTTTCCCAAGAGCCAAGTTTTTCCCCCCCTCATGTTGAGTTTCAAGCCAACTTTTGCACTCTCCTCTTTCACCCACATCAAAAGATCCTTTAGTTCCCCGTCCCCTTCTGCCATTAGAATTCAAAAATAGACTCCCTGCTAAATGTATATTCTGTTTTATATTAGAATTTGCATCAAACCACAAATACATATTTCTGACAAACACATTTTTACCTATATTTTTCACCCTTTTTTGGCCAGCTATCCTTACTGTTACTAGCTTCTTGTTGTTGTTTTTTTAACCGTTTTCTTATTAGAACTTTCTAAAATATTTTTATCATCGTTCCCTGGAGGTGAATCTTCAGGTTTCTGCTTAAATGCTTTTCTGAAACATTTTTTTTAACGCTAGCTAAAAACTACCATGTCCAGGAGAATTCCTAAACTGTTGAAAAGATTACTAAGTTTTAAATCATCTCCTGCTTGAAAGAAAAATTGTAACACATATTTTCAAAATTTTATGTTAATGAAAAGAAATATTACCTCCCCTGACATGTCTGGTGCCATAGGAATTACTGGCCATAAAGAAGAGTAGATGCCAAAAAATACTATCCAGAGGACAATGCTGCCCCATATAGCTATATGACTAAACTGGAAAAAAAAGAGAAAGAAACTCAGTTAGTAAATGAATATTTTTAAAGCTGTATCTTTGTAAATCTAAATAAACAAACAAAAAATTCCACCAGTAATTAAAAGTGTCGTGCATTGCCTCAATAGAAATGAGCTGCTATCATTTATTGTGTTATAATATTTTAAAGACATCTTACCAAAGTCCAATATGAAGTCTCCAATCCAGCTTTTAAGCACACAGTTATGACCACAAACTAAAAAAAAAGAAAAAAAGAGGAGAGACATTACTTTTCCTAACCGGATAAAACTGAACTCAGATTGAAATACGCGATTTCAAAATCGAAGAAATGTTTAACATTCTAACATCTGCATAACACGCAATTTAAGAAATCGTTATCTTGCTTCTGCATTTTCCTTCAGATACAGATGGAGTGCAAACAAGTTACTTATACTCTGCAGTTTACGAGTGAGTGAGTGAGCATCTTTGTGTGTGCACGCTTGCAAATGATGCCCGAGTAAAACACAGAAAACACACGAATGAATGCCCCTATGTCATCTGGGACAGAACACCCAGAGGTTTTGATTATATGAAGACATTTATGGAAAAAGAAAATAACAATTACAACAAACACTGGACTGAAAGTAGATGATTAACAGAGGACGGCCGTTATATACAAAATGACACCAAGTCATTTGGCCTTTCATGGTAGCTAGCAACAGCAATAGCACCTAGACTTGTATACCGCTTCATAGTGGCTTACAGCAGTAACCACGGGACGGTTTTGCACACTACCTAGTCCATGCAAAAGGATGGAAGGCTGAGTCAACCTTGAGAATCAAACTCCTGACAGTGGGCAGTTAGCCTGCAATGCTGCATATTCTAACCACTGCGCCACCAGGGCTATTAAGCTGCTTAAGTAGGACTCAGTGAGGTCAACTGCTGTTTTCGGTTTAAGATCCGAGCTGGATTAGCGTGAGTAGAACTTACTGTATATACGGCATTTCCCAAGAGCAAGTAGTCTGAAGTTCTACCACTGGCAAACACAGTATCTATAAAAGAATAACATTGCCAACGTTAACTAAGAGATTGTGCACGCAATTTATTTGCTTTCGTTAGATTCATATGGCTGCCAACTCGCCAAGCAACTCTTACCTACAAACCAGTGATGGGTTTCAAAAATTTTTACTATTGGTTCTGTGGGAGTGGCTTGGTGGGCGTGGCTTGGTGGGCATGGCAGTGCAGCAATGCACAACACTTTTAATTACTGGCCAAATTTTTTGTTTGTTTGTTTATTCAGATTTACAAAGATACAGCTTTAAAAATCTCCATTCCCACCACACTCCAGGGGAAGGTTACTGCAGAATCCCCATTTCCTCCCGATCAGCTGGGACTTGGGAGGCATAGAATAGATGGGGGCGGGGCCAGTCAGAGGTGGTATTTACTGGTTCTCTGAACAATTCAAAATTTCCGCTACCGGTTCTCCAGAACTGATCAGAACCTGCTGAAACCCACCTCTGCTATAAACATCTCAAGACTGGTACTTTAAGAAAAAAAAATGGGCAGCTACTACAAATGAATAAACCATCAGCTATATTTATATGCAAGAAACCACATTCTATGTATACTGCACGTTTGTATAATAGGGCAAATAACCGAAGAAGGAAATCTAGAGTTAAGAGGAAAAAAAAATTCCAAGCTTTCTCAACTTTAGTTTGGCAACTTTAGGATGGGTGGCTTTCAAACTCCAGAATTCCCCAGCCGGCATGTTTCTTCAAGTGGTACCTATTCATTAAAGCTGCAGCCCAAGTAATTTACAAAGAGATTGAAAACTGGTAATCAAAAATTCTTTAATCAGGTGTTAACTAAAGTAATAGTTAGGGAGAAAGAGCAGATGTCTACTGGTAGTCCTCAATTTATGACTACAATTGAGTCCAACATTTATTTTGCTAAGTGAGACATTTGTTAAGTGAGTTTTGCCCCATTTTACGACCTTTCTTGCCACCGTTGTTAAGTGAATCACTGCAGTTAAGTTAGTAACACGGTTGCTAAGTGAATCTGGCTTCCCCGTTGACTTTGTTTGTCAGAAAGTGACCCGGGACACTGCGACCATCCTAAATACGAGCCAGTTGCCAAACATCTGAATTTTGACCACGTGACCATGGGAATGCTGTGATCGTCGTGTGAAAAACGGTCATAAGCCACTTTTTCCCCCAGTGCCGTTGTAACTTTGAACGGTCACTAAATGAACTGCCGTAAGTTGAAGACTGCCTGATTTCCATTTTAGCAGCCCTGCTTCTAATAAAGGGTGACATCGTATTAGTTTAGGAATAAATGTATTGAGTATATTTCCGCATATTGTGAGATTATGTGCAGGAATACAGAGGTTGCTCGCCAATCGTTAATAGTTCTATGCATTTGCATCTGGGCAAAAACATGTGTTGCAATTTTCTGGGGCTGAAGTAGGTCAGGGACGGGCTAAAAATAAATATCTACCTTCAGTTTTCCTCCCAAGGCTGCAGGATAGCCATATCAAGCAAGGAAGGAGAGCATCGTATGCACATCTGCAACCACCAGCTGAACATTTATGGATTCAATTTCATATTTGATTTTCCTTCATCAGCTTTTGGAAATATAATCTTCCCAGATTATATTCAGATTATAATTCTGAATGATTGTTTGGATTATTCCGTCTGGCTAATGAGTGGCTGTATGAGTTTGTTAAACAAACAAATAAATACGTACGTGTCTACTGTGAATGCAGTCTTTTTTATTTTTTAAATATTTACTTACCATACTGGATAGCTTTTAGCGGAAACCAAAACAGAATTACTGAATGAAAGAGGCCATTTAAACAATGGATCCAGAAAACCTAAGCGAAAACAAACATTAATGACCGTCATTGTGGTAAAAGTAACTCTATAAATTTTAACTTTTTATACACATATATTAAATACATAATATATAAAAACACACACACACACACACACACACACACATATATATATATGCAGTTTAATTACGCACATGAAGCATTTTTTATTTATACCATTTTCCTGATTAACATGTTACAAATAAAGATTATAAGACAGTTATATCAAACATGTACAAAAAGTCTATGTGTTTTTATGTATTTATGTATGGACAGAGTCAAGTCAAGAAACCCCTTTCACTATTTCTATAAAAGGAAAGTTTTGTAGTAACGCCTGACATGCTTTTACAAATCACAATCTTTATTGTGCTAAAGAGAAACGTATTAATCGCTTGAAATTGTTCAAACAACAGAATTATGTTCTCTGCCTCAAAAAATTTTCTACCCTGCCTGTAACATCTTTGTAATATTATCTAACTGGCTAAGGTTGTACAATCCAATTTATGCCACAATACTTTGCATATTTGAACTTTTGTGTTACTCATTAACCTTTGTCTCTCCTTGCTGTGTCATTGACAAAAGAATATTATTTGAGAAAAAGCTGAGATGGGGGGCAAGAAAATTAAGACCGCTTTTTCATTTTTATGGTGAATACTCATTGTCCCACGTTAATCCTTTAACCTCTCTTCATGATCCCTGAACTCTGACCCTTTTGATCGCAATGAATCTGTGCACCATCGTTTAGGGCAATGAAAATTCTAAATCTTCCACATATCAAACCAAAAATATCTGTCTTTACAGACCATTTGAAATTGTAAAACCTGTTAAGAATTAAAAACAATAAAAAGTTAGATCAGTTTCTAAAATAAAAAATATAATTAAAACATTTACAACTGAGTGGTCCATGGGATTTGACCACATTCATAATTGTGCAAAACAAAACTAAACAGGACACTACAAATAGAATAACTTCATCTGCATTCACTGAACTTTTTCAAAAATAATTATATGTATTCACAAAAGATAATGTGAAAATTGTGGTAGAAAGCCTATGTTAGTAAATTGTTGAAATTCTTTTTGATCTATCAGGCCTACACAATTATTTATACTGTAATTTGTTTAACAAAAGAGGAATATAAAGAAAAAAAATGTAGAAAGCATTTAAGAAACTCATAAAATCTGAGCTAATTAGTTTTAAAGTGCTATAAATAAGCGGTACATAAGCCACATTAATTTAAAACATGACCTGTATAATTATTCTGTTAATGAATTTGATGTTAATTAAATTGGTGTTAATAAAATTACCAACACTAGTTCATATTTAAGTGTTCTTTCTATATGTATTTGTTTTAGGTTTACTTATACCTAATGAAGAGAATTATGTACAGAAAAACAATATAATAACAATGTGAACAAAGGCCAACATCAGCTAAAGCACCAGCACCTGAGATTTCACTTTGTTGAGTGTATTATGATACAATCAATCATACTTAATTTAATTGGCAAAATATACACTCTCAGATTCAGATTATAGTTATCCAAAAGACTCTTAACTAGTACATCAGTATTTGGAAATCGTGCATCTATTATCCATACTGGCTTTTAAAAAGTTTTTAAAGAACCAGGATAAATAATTTGAACGTTATTTATTATTATTTATTTACTCGTAATATGAAAATTTCACTGTTGGCGTGAGTGCCAAAAGAGTCTCAACCAACAAGCATAAACAAGAAACTCTTCCATGCACATGAATGATTTATTTGTTTGTTGAAGGTCCTTTCCGCTACTTTTTTACCGCATTAAATCCTCCTCTGAAAATTTTATGCATATTCATGAACAGCTTTTCTCTGGAAAACTAGCTAGCTCAAAAAAAAAAAAAAAAACAGAAGATAGACAGGACTGGATTTTATTGTTACTGGAAGCTTACTGAGATATAGGGGACCATCATCATCAAACTTATATGTAAATGATTTTAAGCACGTTGTCGTAAAATAGAATCAAACAGGTGTACATGCAATAATTACAAATTATTTCCAACTACCTTTGAATTGAAATCCAGAGCGTTTTGGGATGTCTTGTATAATTCAGGGTATTTTAGCATATTTACTTTGTGGCAGGATCTCTCAAATATTCCAAGCGTCAATGGAGGCATAGCCGTAAACATCTAATGCACAAACCAAATATAATAACAAAAACTTGTAATGAACATTCAAATATATTTTAACTATTAGCATTGTCAAAGAAACTAATTATAAAAACTTACCACATTATAAAGTCCTATGCACCATCTTTCAAACAGTATCTGTCCAGAAAATCCATTAACAAATGCAAACCATATCTGAAGAAGAGAGTTTTAAACATAATATCAGTTTTATGGATTCAAGGGCATCTTTTCTTGAATCAATAATCTTTTAAAAATGGGGAAAATTTTAATGGCAGAAAAGATAATAAACATGTGAAGAGTCTTCAGTCTGTATTTTTTTAAAAAAATTGCTTTCAATCAATTCTGATTAAGGTCACACCCTTCATGATAACTGTCTCTCAGACAATGTTTTACATAGATTATTTTGGTTCCACATTATCTCTGGGCATGATTCCACCTGAATATTTTATATAATTTGAATTATATCTTCTTGATTAAATCATTTATAATGAACATTTTTTCCCAACTGTTCTTCCAACTTGAAGGATTGGAATCACTAATATTTGCTAACCAAATATGTTCAAAACAGCAATAACATAAACTTTCAGTCACAGAAAAGTTAATAATGAAGACAATATCTATTTAACTTTTATTAGGTAACAGAGCACCTAATTCCTTTGTTTCTTAAGAGTACATCCCCATCCTTATAGATGTTCAATCAACAGATTAATTCTAATTACTAATTGCTAAAAAGAATCCCAAAACAATATTACATGAATTTAATGCATTTCTCATTGAGATTGTTACAGGTTTTTCATACCTGAAGGTACACAATAGAATGCTGAAAATACTCATCAACTATCTGAATATTTGCAAAATTTCTATGTAAATTAAATAGCTGCCTATGATTAATGTTTTGATAACTATGAAACATTACAGTGCATAAGGCAATGTTTTTACAAGGCTGTATTTTCTGGATTTTTTAAAAAGCGTTAACAGGGATTCTGTAGACACAACAAAATAATACTGAGCTGACATTTGAAATATAAATTATAGAGTTTGGTTTCAACAGCTGAATTCTAAACAGATCATTAACTGATATCTAATAATTAGAAGGAAAGGAGAGGAAAGCCTGAAAGCAACCTCTCTCATGTAGTAATTAACATAAAGAAAATTGTTAGAATTTAATAGATATCAGGAAGCATTGATTTTATTTTAATCAAATGCATACAAACCTGTCCCAGCTGCTAGATTTATACATTATGGCTGTTAATGTTAGCCACAGCAGCAAAACACTAAAAAAACAACACGTCTACTCACTTAACTTTTTATCAGGGACTTAACAAAAGAACTCATAGTCGATAAACATACCTCACCAGATATAAAACATTTAAGCAAAACACGAAATATATGCTATGTGTACACGAATCCTGAAATATAAGCAATTATTATATGTTCAGCATTTCAGGCAATTTAAATTTTTTACTCTAGCTTTGTTTTGTAGTAGAATTTTGCAATTTAATGGAAATATAAAGTGTAACTAGACACCACTTATTTGAGCTAAATATTGGTCAAGATGTTTTACAAAATTCCAAGAGGGAAAAAAGAGGGAGTTGGGGCAGAAAAAAAAACAGCCACACAGATTTTCCTAGGCTTCAGGCATTGTAACAGGGAGTCTAAGATCCTCAGTCAGTTACTTGCTCTCACGCTTGAACAATGAAATGAGGTTCAGGACAGGCAGTTGTCCTTGCTACAGACATGCATATTCTGTCCATTCATTTATTCATTCAGTGTTGACATAAGCTATTAACCGCTGCATGAGCTGCAAAAGTTGAATGTAGGTTAAGTGATTGGCAGATCATTTCGAGATACGTTCGAAACCTTTCAGGGACTTTCAACGTCTTCCATCTCAGAAGCAAAATGCGCTAAAAAGTTAGAATTCTCAGATGAGACAATAATAGTTACTAAGCTACTAATGTTCTGTTGCTTAATTAAACTAAGATTGTCTAACGTTTCAGTCACCCACTGATTAATTTTAGTTGGCAAAACAGAACATAAAATCCAAGCAAAGAAATTTTGCGGGCAGTTTTGTTAACTCTGGAGCCACAAAAAATACCGATGTATTTAGGCAAAAAATACCGATGTATTTAGGCAAAAAATACCAATGTATTTAAGCAATGTGTTTCCTAGTAAAAGCTTTCAGGGAAAGATGGCTAAATATATGCCACTGCAAAATGTTTTAGCCAATAACGTATCCTTAACTGTGATTTAGCTAATAACGTATCCTTAACTGTGATATTAGAAGTGAGATAAAAATCATAAAAGGGAGAAATTTCTAGAAATGGAGAGGTAGCTACTGAAAAAGAAGATTCCAGGGATGACTGAAAATATGTTGATTTCATATTTTCAGTTAATATTTGTTATCTTCAGGATGTCGTAATTCTTGGTCCTAGAATTAGGGGAATTCAAAAGTTGCTGAACAAAATTTAAGAATGTACATCTCTCAGCAATCCAGAAAATAGGACTGGATGTAATTTATCAACGTATAATGGCAATTTGTTTTAAGTCATCGAAACAAATGAGAAGCATACATCCTAAAATTCAGTAACATAAAGAGGTTTTAAGAGATTAAATATTTTAGGATGCATGTTTCTTAATAATTCTTGCTGAAATAACAAATAAAACATCTTTATGATTATATTTTATTCCCTGGCTTTGCTTTAATTCAAATTAATGCATATCATGCAGCCACCAAACCTAAAGGAGGCCAATTTCTCTTTGCATTGTGTTTCATAAATCAAAATAGGAAGGAATGTTTGAAATGAATAAAACCATACCTTTCAGTTAAGATTTGGGGGGGGGGGAAATTGAGAAGTGTGTTCCCCTCCCCCGATGTAAACCCATTCTTACCTCAATAATATAAAGGACAATATTCTTGTAGAAGCAATACAAAATGCATTTAGCAACTCTACTGTAATTCCAGGCACCATGGACCAGAAGTAAGTTCTTCAAGTACTTGAACTACAAACAAAGAAAAAAAGACATGCCTTTAATGCTTACAATCCCATATTGACAATGATTTAATACTCTAAACCAGTGGAAGATCCTACCTGAGCTATTGAATAATCTGAAGAATTAGCGGCTTGGAGGCCTTCATTTCCACTAATGCCTACGCCTACGTGTGCGGTTTGTATCATGCTGACGTCATTCGCTCCATCCCCAATGGCCAAGGTCACTACCTTTACCTGTTTTTTAACCATTTCTACAATATCAGATTTCTGCAGAGGCGAAACTCTAGAAAAAAAAAAAAGGAAAAAACAATATTGTTATTAAACTTAAATAATGGTCATCAGGAAACAGATTACTGTTGTAATTTCAAATTGTCACTAAACAAAAGTTAGTAGGTCAAGGACCACCTGTATAAGGGTCTCAATCCAGATGGAGAAGGTGAAGGACTGTGGCTCTATGCCAGCTATGTACATACTGAACAAAAATCAATGCTAATACTAATTAAAATACTTTTTGTAAGTTTTTTAATTTGTGGGCCAAATTTTTGTATATTTCATTTTAATGGTTTTTAAATTTTGTAAATTTTATGTGTTTTAATATGGCTGTACACCGCCCTGAGTCCTTCGGGAGAAGGGCGGTATAGAAGTCTAATAAAAGTAAAAGTAAAGTAAAAGTTTTTGTTTTAGAGATAGCAGCCTAACACTAGCATAGCTGGTTGTCACCTTTAAAGCCCTTCGTGGCTTGGGACCAGGTTATCTGAGGGACCGTGTCTTGCCGGTCACGTCTACCCGACCCATCAGAGCTGGGAGGTAGGGAATGTTGTGGATCCTGCCCCCTAGGGAGACATACCTGGTGGGACCCAGAAGAAGGACCTTCTCTGTGGTGGCCCCCTCTCTCTGGAACATCATTCCCCCAGAGATTAGAATGGCCCCACTCTAGCACTCTTCCGGAAGGCGCTGAAGACCTGGTTCTGCCAGAAGGCCTGGGGAACCCAGAGCGGGATGGAGTCCATTAAATGGCTCATGTGAGGCGCTATTGCCGGGGCGGGGGGTTATTTTATTATTATAATTTATTATATGACTCTTCTTTTCTTAGTTTTATTGTTTTTATATGAGGTTTTATATTCTGTAAGCCGCCTTGAGTCGCCATGTGCAAATAGGCGGCAATATAAATTCCCTAAATAAATAAATAGACATTACGTGGTTCTCATAAGCATTGACAGCTTTACTTTAAATTCAACTGGAACCAAAAATAGTTTGGAGGAATGCTGCCCAAAATTGTATGAGCAAAGAAAAAAAAAAAAAAAGAGAGAAAGATTTACCTGCAACAAATGACAGCTTTGCAGGACAGAGCCAAATCCAAGAAATACTGCCTGACACCAAACGTCAAAGCGTATTTTAATGTTTTGCCGTCAATGATTAGTGCAAAATCATTTTCCTTCCTCAATGCCTCACCCAGGGTGCTGCAGTGATGGGTTAAGGTCTCTCTTGTTGCCTGTAAAATACCACAACAATAAGCATACGCATTGCCTCTGTGTGTTGTTCCTAGGGTTCTTCTCCCATTAAGATGTTTATTTTCTTCTGTGCAACTTTATTAACATAATTATCAAGGGAGTTAAAAACACAATTAAAATTACTCTAAAAAGAAAAAAAAGGGTACAAAATTCAACAGCAGCAGGGATTGAAATCAGAACTGATTAAAAACAGGAAAAATAGAATTTCCACAAAATAAAAGCTGGCTTAGCTCACAATTAAACTTGTCTGGGGGAAGAAAAAGGGTTCTCACCTGGCAAATATGAATGGTGATCCTTCTTATATGAATCTTGATACATGCTTGCACAACCAGGTTCCTATTTAATTGGGTTCAGGCTATATCAATGTCATTTACTGTATTTGTTGGAAAATGTGAATCCTTTAATCGCTTTTTATACACTATGCATAAATGTAATACAGCCGTATGCTAGAATTCTATCTAGATTTGCTTCCTCAGAAATAAACTCTGTTATTTTTGTCAATGAAACTCTGCAACCCGGTTGTGTCTTTTAGTGGATAATTTAAAACCGATTGAGAGGCTTTGCTAGGGGATTAAATCTATTTAACTAGATGAGGTTAGTTGTTAATCCACCTCTTTTTTTTTTTCCTGGTAAACTTTAATAAAGCAAACTTGCAAGACACATAACGTTGCATTTTCCTCCAAAAAGAAACAAGACTACTGCAGCTGAAGCCTTTTTTTTATCAGTGCTAGGAATAAACAATTTGGGATTATCTCTATTAGGAAAATCTGTCAATCATAATTACATACAGTCCAGTACTGTTTGCTAGTGATCAACTGTCGTTATCCTCTTTCCTGCCTTCTAAATTCAAGGCAACCACTAATTTCCTTCTCAAGAACTTCAGTATCTGTTCTAATGCCTATCATAGGATTTGTTGAGAATGTATCTTGATCTCTCTTCAAATTGAGCCATTCCAGTAAAATGCAATCATGTTTCGAGCGACGGGGAAAACTTTCTTGATGCAACGAGACTGACCTAATATCATTTCAGTTTCATAGCTCGTAAGAAGTGTAGGTTGATATAGATGAACAATATTTCTGCAGCCAAGAAAGTTCCCATCATTACAAATCTTCCAAGTTTTCTTTTTAAATAACCAAACAGAGGTATAGAACATGTACTGAAAACAGGGCCGAACAAAGGCTAGGGTTTAAAAAATATTTTTTTCACTGCATGTTTTCTATATCTTGAGATCAGAAGAGGTGTACAGCCTGCTTTGTTTAACTAACATCATGTTATCGTCCATCTTCTGTGATGTTCTTCAACCTATTTGTTTACTGTTAGGCTAAAGTATTCTTTCTCTGCATATAGTGGAGACTGGAGAAGGACGCACTCTCTAAGAGATTAGCAAGTCTCAAGAGTTATGAGATTTTCTAAGTCTGCAGGCGCACGTCTGTGTGTGCATGAGAGAATGAGAAAGAGTCAGCATGTCCATCTGTGCAACTGGGAGGGGAGTTTTACCTCTTAAATGCAAGATTTCTGTTTTTAAAAAGAAATGGTGGCTTGCACGAAGCTCCGTTTTTAAATAGGATGTCCTGCAGGAATGATTTTTGTGATTTTTTTCCTTTATGACAAAATTTAGCCCCACCCTAGCTTCATATCAACATTTTCTAAACCATAACTTTCAGAAAAATATTAGATCAAAAAAGAAAAATGCCGAGAGGTTATATGCTTCCTATTAATCAGAACATAAATAATTAATCCATATCTATTTTTTTAAACTAGTCTATACCCAGTACATACACTGTGATACAAATTTAGACTATACTTACATCAAGGGAGCCTTCATTTATAACAATCAGCCCCATGTTCTTTTTCAAGAGTTTACAGGAATGTCCTATTAGAGAGAAAAAAAAAGTACGCTATTGTGTTAGGATTTTTAAAAGTTGTAATTACAGATACATAAAGATATAAGCATGATTCCTGAGACATTAAATGCAAGAATATTGTGGCCTGGATAAAATAACTGGCGTTAAATTACTATATGGAGGTTTGGTGGGAAATTCAAGGCCACTTGAGAGAATATATATATTTAAAGAGAATACTAGAAAGTTGAGAATTCTATTTGATTTCAGGTAAACAAAGAACACCCAAAATAACATACTGTGTTTTGCTTTTATAGAACATATTCAGCCAACATTTACTATCTTTATTTGAAAAAAAAATATGGTAAACTACAGGATATTCTCTTTTAAGAGGGGAAGTTGAGTCAGAAGCTGAAGTCAATGAGATAAGAGTCAAGAGTAATATATTGTTTCTGGGACCATAAATAAATACGATTGTATAAAGAACCCTCTTCAATGCACTTTTTTTGTGTATTCTTTAACCATAATCTCTTTCCATATTAATTAGAGTTAGATGAAGTTCAGATCGCATTTGTAGGTCACAGAATTGCAGGATTAGGGAAAATTCTAAAGGATTTACAAAAATTTCTCATGCTAATGAAAATGCCAATATTCTTTATATGACATCCATTTGACCTTGAGTTATTGAACAGAAATATGCCATTCTGCTATCAGAATATTTCAGGCAAAAGCTAGAAACTTGCTAAAACTTTTCTAGGGAATGTTATGGCACTTCATAAGGATCACTTGGTAGAAGCTGTCAACAGTTGCTTAATTAGAAGTCTTTTGATTAAAGTACAGTATGTATGTGGGTATTATTCTCAGTGATATATGTTTATAACTGTAATCATAATCAATATTTAGCAATGATATCCAATACCGATGATTAATATAATACATCCAATGGATATATTTAATAAATAATTGATTTCTCTTAATTATTATTTATTAGTTGTTACAATCTTTCATTCTGTGATTGCTGGAGTTTGTGAATACCGGGACATAACCAATTTCTTCACTAACCCAAAATTGTATTCATATAGTCAATTCTTCCTTTCCTCTAGTTATCAGAAAAACATAATCAAAGGAAATCCTGAATAATTCCCAAAGAAAATACGTATTTTTTTCAATTAAATATATGCATACAAAATCTAAAGGGACTGGTTTGGACAAAACTCAGCAGTATTTTTCGTGCGGCTCTTGATAAAAACAGGATCGCCAATATCCGATGACAGATATGGCACAAAAAGAAGATACATACATGTAAGTTTACCAACTCAATTTAACGTATTACCAATGTTAATAGCTGTCTCTTGCTTGTCTCCAGTAAGAATCCAAATTTTGATATCTGCTTTCATGAGTGTTTCGATGGTTTCAGGCACTTCGTCTTGTAGCTTATCTTCTATGGCTGTAGCTCCAAGTAATTGGAGATTCTTCAGAAAAAACACATGAGAGAATTAACTTCCTCTTTTTAAAGCAAGGAAGAAATATAATTTAGATTTAGGACACCTTAAACTAAGGCACTTGCTAACAGAAGATTCCTAGTAGTATAGTCAGGTGGCTATTCCATCTTTTCCTTCTTAAGAAAGTCTTTTTTCTTCCAAGAAAAATAAAATCTCGTAAGGAAAAATTGAAATGAGCTCCAAACAATTGCTCCTTGTGACAATGATACAAGATGGTCTTCTCTGCTGGATATTGAGCAATGAGAGACAACCATCTTGCTTGCAACGATGGTTGGTGCCTTTTAAATGACAATTTAAATTCTCAAACTTCCTTTTTTAATCATGTTTGGAAGCTTCTTGTCAAGTACTTTTAAGCTATTAGAGATCTTTCGATCGAGAAGACTGAAAATATGACATAAGCCCCCCTTTTAAAAATACATATTTAATTAAGGGCTAAGCTACAATATTAATTTATAATAAAATCTACATACAATTAACACAAATCTCAGTAAAATTCATTGCATAAAGTTAAGCAACACGGACCACTTACTTTTTCAATTAGTTCATAACTCTCTTCAAGTTTTAGGGCTCTGTTTTGAATAGATGTTGTAGCTTTTTGATACATGTTCAGCCACTCATGATAATCACTTTCTGTAATCTCAGCCACAGCAAAACAGAGGGTCCTCAAACCTACAATTCCACAAAAATTGTCAAGGTTGGACACCTAGGACCTATAGGCTGTTCTCTTCATAGACATGAGAACCAGCTGATCTGCAGGCAACTGGCTGCTACTAATTTGTTCACCCAAGGAAGTTACCATCTTTCTTAGGAAAAGGGTAAAAATCCATGTTTCAGGTGCAATAAAATACGTTTTCATATACTTCAACCTGGCCAAAGGATTGGTGTTTCTTCATAAAAGTTCTTTCTCTTTTCTAAATGAGTTTCAAACTGACATTTTCAAAGAGGCAACATCACAGGTTATATGTGATGCTTTTCAATCACTTGTTGACAAATTAGAGTTAATCAAATATAAAGAAAATAAACAAAAGGCAGCGTTTATTGGGGCTTGAAAAAGAACTTCTAATCTGCACTGTACTAGCTGAAAAAACAGAAGTAAGTTTTTAAAGTAATCGTCAATCATTATCTATTTATATTATTACTAAGACTCATTTATTACTGTGCTGTTATAATTAAACAGTAATACTGTACTCACCTTCTGTAGCAAACAGCTCTAAATGTTTCAAGGTAATTTCTTTGTATCTTGAATTTTCAGCCAGACGATCATAAATTACCGTGTCCTATAGTAATAATTAACAGATCAATTTTTTTTTGTTGAGCATTAAAAAAAATGTAAACACAAAACTAGGCCAGAAAATGATTCTCTGTAACAAAAACTCTATTTAATGTGTAGTATTAGTTAATTATTATCTAATTAAAAATGCATATCCCATTTTCCATAAAAAAATCAGCGTAAGGCAAGGTTTTTTTTAAAAAAATCACCACTATGTACCAAAAACAAAACAAAAAACCCTTTGTATTTTTATATTAATGCAAAAACTGATTGAAAATAATACTGTATGGAACAACTGTTTACAATTTTTACTGGATTGAGAACTATGAACTGAATGTATAAACGTGCGTTAAATCACTATTATTTTTAAGAGTTGTTTACCCGAATGCGGCAGTGTGTATCAAATAAATAAAATTTACGTCCAATAATTAAACATATAAAACTGTCTCCCATATTTTTGGTTCTGTATTGATGATGATGGTACAGCGCAGAATTCTGAATGATGTATTTTGGACCATGAATTGAAGCTTTAGGCTTTAAATCAGCTTTTTTCTTTCAGAAATTAGAGTTCTATAAAATGTTGAGTTGAATGCTGGTACTCAAAAGGATGTCATGTAATGCAGCAACACCATCTGGTGGTGTGAGTGGAATATTACACCCCACACTTTCCATTAGTTTTAAGTTGTGTGTAGTCTTCTTTTAAAAAAACAATTTACCAGTTGTTGCTTTCCCTTTTAACTTTGAGTATTTTTGTGTTTTAAGTAACTAAGACTTTTATGTTTGATTCCCCCCCCCATTTCTTTTCTTTTGAGTAAAATTTGATTTTATTTACGCAAGGAACGGGGGGAAAAAACCCCCCAGGGGTGATGGCCAATGCTTGTGCTCCCTCCTTCCCCTATCTGTTTCTCCATTGGTAGATTTGTGCACCACACACAAGGCAATTGTGTTTCAAGTGTGGAGGTCTGTGTGCGGAGAAGATGCAGTTAGGTACCTGAGCATCTTATCCATCTTATCCAAAAGAAAAATGAGGCCAGAGAAACAGAAAAAAACTGGAATCTTCTGGTGGTCAGGTTGTTGTTATTGTTAGTTGCGAAGTCGCGTCCGACCCATCACGACCCCATGGACAATGTTCCTCCAGGCCTTCCTGTCCTCTACCATCTTCTGGAGTCCATTTAAGCTCACGCCGACTGCTTCAGTGACTCCATCCAGCCACCTCGTTCTCTGTCCTCCCCTTCTTCTTTTGCCCTCCATCGTTCCCAGCATTAGGCTCTTCTCCAGTGAGTCCATCAGGTGGCCAAAGTATCTGAGTTTCCTCTTCAGGATCTGGCCTTCTAAAGAGCAGTCAGGGTTGATCTCCTCTGGGACTGACCGGTTGGATCGCCTTGCAGTCCAAGGGTGGTCAGGTTATCGTCTCCTAAATTATGGGGGATTCCTCAGCATTGTACCCAAGAACTGGCATCCAAGGATGTGTTAAACCAGGAGTGTCCAACCTTGGCAAGAATTTTAAGACTTGTGGACTTCAACTCCCAGAATTCTAAAAGTTGCCAAGGTTGGACACTTTGTGTTAAACAAACAAACAAACAAACAAACAAACAAACAAACAAGATAGGCATAAAACTGAAATCACAGTAGGATAAAACCAGACTTTGAAGAGGTGTTCCCCTCTCTTCATCAGAAAGGAGGCATTTCCCCCTCCACTTGAAAACTGAAAAGAAAGACACAACTACACACTTTTCTCAGCTTAAAAAGAAGCCAACAAGAGGCAGAAGAGTTCCCTCCATTGGCTTCAGCCGAGAATGTGTAAGTGCAGAAGAGAAAGGAAGCAGTGAGACAGACACGAGGGAGAGGATAAAAATAAATAGGAAGTGCACAGACACGGCGGAACACAAAATAGAAATAATAATAATAAAATGGTTCTAAGAATAGAGGCTGAAAAACAGGACATTAACGTAATAAAAGGACTGGGAAACAGACAGAACAACAGGAGCATGGAAGACCTAATCTCAGCCATAGGATAAGAATTGCACAGATTTGGTGAAGACAACTATAGAAACCCAGAAATAAGACAGTAAGTGACGGGGGAAAAAGAGCAATGGGATCTCTTCCAAGTTTGGGGTCCACCTGACAATTATTAGACTGAAGAGCCTTCCACATTATCAATTATCAAGGGAGCCCTGGTGGCGCAGCAGACTAAAGCACTGTTATTAACATCAGCTGCCTGCAATTACTGCAAGTTCAAATCTCACCAGGCTCAAGATTGACTCAGCTTCCATCCTTTCTAAGGTAGGTGAAATGAGGACCCAGATTGTGGGGGCAATAAGCTGACTTTGTATAAATATATACAATAGTATGAAGGCTATTGCTTAACGCATTGTAAGCTGCCCTGAGTCTCCGGAGAAGGGCGGCATATAAATAAATTAAAAAAAAAAATTCTGAATCCATCTAAGGGCCCGGAGAAAAGGGGTTGGGTTTTTATTTACACACCGGGTTAGAAGATAGGATAGAAGTCAGGTGCCCCTTGGTGTATATGTGGTTGTAGAGAAAGTACTAGCGGGTGTAAATCCCAATGGTTTCTGGGAAATGAAGTTTGAGACCTACCATCTTTCACCCGATGGACAGAGTGGTGCCGTTACAAAATGTTGGTATAGGGAAAAAAAAAAAAAAGAGTAGAAGAAAGTGGCATGACTAAATAAATCACCCTCTGTTTATTCCTTACAATCTTCCTTGAGAAAATATCACTGACAATCAAGTTTCAGAAATTTACGTTTGTAAAAAAACAAAACAAAACAAAACGGAGTGACAACTTACAGCTCCTTTGCAGTAGAGTCTTAATTTACCGGATGGCGTGCGCACAATTACAGACATTCTTTTTCTAGAACTGGAAGAATTGAAAAACAGTTAACATTTTTAAGGGGCTGAGAAAACAAAAGGCATTAAAAAGGCCTATGTAATTTACCTTGTAAATTCTAACACGTTTAGCAATTCGTATCTTTCTTCTTGACCCAGCTGGGGAAAAAAAAAAAAGCAACACTCTAAAACTTCAAAGGCATTTCTAATTTCTCAATTTTTTTTTTAATTGAGAAAATAATATCCTTGACAGTTTACTAATTTAATCTACTTACAGATTCTATAATGACAGAGTCTGGCGTTCTTCCAGTAAAAACAAAATGGAGTTGCTTAGCTGCTCTGACTAAGGCTCCTTCATCTGTAACAAAATATCCACTATTATTTCACTGGCAAATCGATAAGAACAATAAACTAAATACAATATGTTTACTGTTTTGTTCATCAGAAATCAGATTTTTCATCTTCATTTTATTCACACGCAATTTCATTTCATTCATATATAATTTCCGCTACATTTCCCCCACTCCCAAGTAAAAAGATTTCATAATTCAAGAATGCTTCCAAACAAGACTTCTATCATATAATAGCTTTTCTTGGTTCATATAATTTGATGGGGGTGGGGGTGGGGGAAATGAAATAGAATTGTGAAATTCCGCTTCTTCCGTTTTCTTCTGTTATTGTTATTGCAGCTTTTTTTTTTCTTTTCAAAAATATCAGTCAATTAATTGGTTTCGAGAAGCGGTACAAGAACTCTTTGGAAGCATCGCTATGTCCCTATATATTTTTATGTTTGTGTTGTTAAAACGCGTAGCTAAAAAAAAGATTCAACCTTTTCCTATATAGCCTTTTTTTTTTAAATGATATCCTATCAAATGGCAGAACCTGGCCAACCTTAGTTGATCTCACTGTATGGCAGACCACCAGACATCCCAGGGTTATAGGCTAGACTATTTATTAAATTTATATGCGACTCATCTTGCGGGACAAGGCGACATGTAAGTAGCTTATATAACAACAGGAATTTGATTTTCGATAAGATCGTCTCTGGTCACAGCCCATAAAGGAGATTATAGTAATAACCAGCACTCTAAATTGGGCCGAGAAACCCACTACTAACCAGAGCAGTGACTGATCAATCAATCAGTCGGTAATGTGCAGGTAGTCCTCGATTTATGACCACAATTGAGCCCAAAATTTATGCTGCTAAGTGAAACATTTGTTCAGTGAGTTTTGCCCCATTTGCGACCTTTCTTGCCACTGTTGTTAAGTGAATTGCTGCAGTTGTTAAGTTAGTAACACGGTGGTTAAACGAATTTGGCTTCTCCCATTGACGTTGCTGGCCAGAAGGTCGTAAAACGTGATCATATGACCCCGGGATACTGCGACCGTCGTGAGTCAGTTGCCAAATTGTCTGAATTTTGATCACATGACCATGGGGATGCTGCAATGGTCGTAAGTGTGAAAAACAGACATAAGTCCCTTTTTTCGGTGCTGATGTAACTTCGAACAATCACTGAACAAACTAGGGGCAAACAAGGACTACCTGTGATTCACTAATGGAGCTTGTTTGCCCACTTCCATTTCCACAAGTTTTCTACCACTGGTGTATGTAAAATAAATTTCTGCTGAGGAAATTACCATGAATGGAAATTGGGAAGGGAGTGGCAAAGACATATAAAGGTAAGCGTGGTGGCTACTTCCCTATCTCTAACCTCCAAGGAATGCAAACATAGATACAGTAGTGGCCAAAATTGTGGAAACCTTTTGGGAAAAGTGTATTTTGGAGGTTTGATGGCTAATAACACCACTTGTTTTTTTTTTTTTTTGGAGTTTCAAGATAATCCTTTTCCACTGCTGGAATGGCCTGGGAATAGCCCAGACCTTAACCCAATGGAAAATCTATGGAGTTGACTAAAGAAACTTGTTAGTCAAAAGCGACCCAGCAATAAAACCCAGTTAATAGAAGCCATCATTCAATCTTGGTTTCACATGAGAACAGCTGCAGAACTAAAAGACTTGGTTCACTCCATGGGAAGACGTTGTAAGGCCGTCATTCATGCTAAAGGTTACCCAACTAAGTATTAACTGACATGGGGATAATTTTTGTATATCTCGGTTTTTTCTACAGTGATAATTTTTGTATATCTCGGTTTTTCTACATGTTCCACTTTTCTTCTTTATACTGTAACTGCAATTCTAATAGCAAATCCTTCATAAAAGTTATTGCATGACATTCTTGATTAAATTATCTTTCCATTGATATATAATTTTATGGTATTACTCCGCCCCAAAAAAGTGGTGTTATTAGCTAGTTTTAGAAAATACACTTTTCCCAAAAGCTTTCCACTATTTTGGCCACTACTGTATAACCACAGACTTTCACATGGACTTTTGAAGATCAGGATCTTCTGTCCAGAGCAGTCTGTTATTCTGATGATCGGTGGTATAAATTATGGGCATACACTGTTCAACTAAACCGGTACTAATTCATTCTCTTCACATTACATTGCATGAAGAAATCCTACAAAGCTTATTATAGGCGTGACTTTGTGTGTGGTAAGCCAAAATGTCTTTTAAAGGCCCACATTATTCTCAGGGTAATGTTCAGCCTACAGTTAGCAATGCATTCTCTTTATAATAAACTCCAGGCTAATCCATCCGTTCGATGTGAATAGATCTTTAAGTACATAATTGAACGTAACGCACTTCAAACTTTACATAGTTGAAAGCGATTACGGCTGCCGCGTAAGCCTTACCTGGAGATGCCGCTTGATAAACTATTCTGTCATCCTCTCTTTCTGGGACAGCTGTGTGACAAATTGCCATCATTGTCAAAAACTCACAAATTATAGGTGCCGTTGGCTGAAAAACAGAAAACAGCAGAATGAACTGTTCTTTTTTTCTAGAATTAAAAACTGAATGTACAGACAAACAGGTGCAAAAATAGCTATAGAAATAAAAACATTGTTGTTTTTTTTTAAAAAAAACATTCATTCACCTAGCAGAAACAAAATGGTAGGGGAAACGAAAGAGACAAAGAAAAAAGATAAGCATTTTGTTTAAAAAAACCACCACCACCAGTTGCTTATTGAAGGAAAGGGGTAGTGATAGAAAAAAAGGTTATGAGTCAGGACCGTGAGCAATGCTCCATTCCCTTTCTTGATTGCAGACCTATTTTTATGCAAATCAAAACTCCACCCTGTGATGATGTGAGAAATAGAATTATTCCTGTAAAGAAGATAGCCTAAATGACTCTATATTTATGCTTCTCATGACTTAAATTAACTCTAAGCTATTTGGCAGCGTAAGGCACTTAGAAAGGGGAAGTATGATGCCTTTTCTGAAGAAATAACGCCATAAACTTAAGTTAGTACATTCTGAGTTGGGTCAGGCTGACCCAAGCTAAATTAAAAGAAAGAAGGAAGGGAGATACCGTTCCAATTAATTGTTTTAGTTAAGGACATATTGAAAGGTTATTTTTAGGAGGGAAATGCCCCTCCAAGGGGGAATTCTAAATCGAGACAAATGTGGCTGAGAAAGCCAAAATGTTATGCAACGTCCAAAAAACAATAAGTGGGGGCGTTTTAATTGTTTTGCTGATTGCTTGAAAATGTATTTAAACCATGTATTTGGAGCTGTAAGATGTTCTCTCTCTATATATAATAAATCTGCTTTTTACTTGTTCATGGTCTCTGCCTTATTTTCTATGAGGTTTGTCATTTTAAAATCTCACAGATGGTTAAGCCCTTAAGAGGAAATAAATATTGTTAACTCTTCTGATAATCAGGATTTTTTCAGTTTTGGTCACCATGATACAACAACAACAACAACAACAACAACAACAAAAGGTTGAGACTCTAGAAAAGAGTGCAGAGAAGAGCAACAAAGATGATAAAAGAGTCTGGAAGCTAGAATTATACGATGAATGATTGCGAGAACAGGGTATGTCTAGTTTAAGGAAGAGAAAGACTAGGGGTTGACATGATAACAGTATTCCAATATCTGAAAAGCTGCCAAAAAGAAGAGAGAATCCAAAGTGCCTGAAGGCAGGACAAGAAACAACGGATGGAAACTAATCAAGGAGAGAAGCAACCTGGAATTAAGGAGAAGCTTCCTAACAGTGAGGACAATTAACCAGTGGAACAAGTTGCCTCCAGAAGTTGTAAATGCTCCAACACTGGAAGTTTGTAAGGAAAGACATTGATAACCATTTGTCTGAAGTGGTGTAGGGTTTCCTGCCTAAGCAGGGGGTTGGACTAGAAGACCTCCAAGGTCGTTTCCAACTCTGTTATTCTGTATTTATTTTATTAGGGTTTTATCCTGCCTTTATTACTTTGTAAGTAACTGGCAAATATACGTAATACCTGGTCCTCCTCCTATTTTATGTTAGTTTTGAAGTTATTATTTATTTTGTATCAGCATATTTCTGCATCTTACATGTTTGTTTTGCAAATTTTCCAGTAATGATGAGTCGCTAAATGTTTTTTCTTCCCTTGCTTGTGGACTCTGGCTAAAAATAAAAATGAAAGAAATGAAATAATTACTACATATATTTATGATAAAAAAAAGAGATTCATTAAGTATAAATCATGTAGATTCTGTTTACATCTTTTTTGAAGTAATGGTTACACAAGATTTGTATTTAATTTGTATTTAAGAAGGCATCTCACAGTTTAATTATCCACCCACATACTTATAGTTTGATTAAGTAGTACAACATATTTAACTGGGTTCAACAAAATGATGATAAATATATAGAATGAGATGAATATTAGTTAATTTACCCATACAAATCACATCAAAACCAGATCTTTCACCCATGGATTAAAAATCAAAAGTTAGCCTCTGATAACAAATAATGGTTTCTTAGACATTGAGTTTTGATGAACGTATATGGATATTTTTGATAATGCTGTAAAACTGTACTGTAATACTCTAATAATTCTAATGTGAACATTTCAAAACCAGGTTATTTATATTTGAGTGAAGTAATGTTCAGTAAAGCTTAATCAGTCTAAAAATAAACGGATGCATTATCTTTTCAACTGAGGAGTCGAATCCCATTTCTCAACAGATGAAATGTTTATTTGAAGGTACCGTTTCAAAATCACTTTCTCTATATATGCTCAGTGTCAGTATGTTAATAATAGTTATAGATCATTGCGAGCAGAAAGGAAATAGCAGCAAAAATTAGTGCTTACCACTCGTCGGAGGTACAGCCAAAATCATCCGATTCAGGAGAATGGCTGCATGGAATGTAAAGAAGGGCAGAACAACATAGAGAAATAGCTAAGAAAGCTGAGAAAGAAAGGCTTGAAGCTCATCAGAGAGAAATTAAGGCCAAAAAAAAAAAAATCACAAATGATCTAGTGACCCATTCATGTAATTGAAGCTATAGGTTTTTAAAAGTGATCTATGTTATTTGGAATCCTACTTTATTAGGGGCCTGGAGTGCACAGCCTGCCTTACGTAACTCAAGCCTGTAATTCTGGCAATTCCAGACCAAGAGTGTCCAATCTTGGCCACTTCAAAGCTTGTGGACTTCAACTCCCAGAATTCCCCAGCCAGCGAAGAAAGGGAAGGTGGGGATGGAAGAGGTTTTAAACATGAGGACAAGGCACAGCCCGATGTAAGTGAAGAAGAAGCAGGAGCCCAGAGAAGGATCCCATGCTTCACAGTCTGAGACACTGAAATTTTAGGTTCCAATTTCTATCATATGTTTTGAAAATCCAATAAACCCAAGTGTGCACGTGTTCTTATAGATGGGACTTTGAATAGAGCAAATTCTTTGCACTGTCTTTTAACTTCCGTATCCCGAAGAATTTTAGTACAGGTCATCCTCGACTTACAACCACAATTGAGCCCAAAATTTACATTGCTAAATTGAGAAGTTTGTTAAGTGAGTTATGCCCCATCTTGCGACTTTTCTTGCCGCATTTGTTAAAGTGAATCGCTGCCGTTGTTAACTTAGTAACACGGTTGTTAAGTGAATCAAGCTTCCCCGTTGATTTTGCTCACCAGAAAGTTGCAAAAGGTGATCACGTGACCCCAGGGCACTTGCAACCCGTCATAAATAAGCAGTGGTCAAACATCCAAATATAAATCACATGACCATGGGGAATGCTACAACGGTCATAAGTGTGAAAAATAGTCAGAAGTCACTTTTTTTCAGCGCCGTTGTAACTTCGAACGGTTACTAAAGAAACTATTGTAAGTCGAGAACTATCTGTATTAGTATTTTAGTATTTTAGCCTTTAGTATCTTTATTTTTAATAATTAACAATCTGACAATCAGCGGCTCCCAGGAAAGAGCACCATAGAGGTTGCTGAAGTTTAAATGAAATAACATCCATGTAAAATGTCCAGTTCGATCATTTGAACTTCATGGCTAAAAAGATGAAGCTGACTTATAAAAGGCAGGCCCTGAAATAGTTATGCATCAGAGGCTTCTGATTGTTTTTGAGACATTTTTGTTTTTAACTTAAAAGATCCTGAAGAGATCTCCAAAAATATTTTAATGACATTGGAAATGTCCAACTCTATTTATTTTTTTTAAAAAAGCTAGCAAGGTAGATAAAACCAAGCAATGACCTAAGAAAAGAACTCACCCATAAGATATTCCTGCTATAGTACACTTCTTAAAATGCATAACGTTGCACGTCAAGGTACCTGTTTTGTCTGAAAAGATGTATTTGACCTTTTAAAAAAAAAAGGTAAATGTTCATTAATATGTTTCATTGAGCATATATTAATATGATAACCTTGTCATAGTAATGTGATTTTTTAAATTATTCAACATACTGAAAACGCTAGCCAAAAAAATCATACAAAAGCTTTCCAGTATTGGATGGTTTAGATAACAAATCCGTAAACGGTCAGCTTAGAATTTAGCACCATTTTCAACTTCACCAATTAGGAGTACTGGGATCTCAAGAAGGATCACTTGAAGATTTATGTTCTGTCTACATGGATGGGATTAAACCTAGTAGCAGCTGTTAAGTAAATAGCATCCTCTTTTTTGGGAAGTGTCCCTAAAGCTGATGTATCTCCGGGAACTCTTTCTCTTTTTGTTTCTTTCATAATATTTTACTGAAGTTTAAGAAATACAAAGATGAAAAACTAATTGTAAGTGTTGCTTACTGAGTTACAATATTTATGGTATCTTGTCAACGGTTCCTGTAATGAGACGTTGTTAAAAATAGCACCCCAGGCTCATTTTTTTTCCCTTGCCACATCTGTAGGACTCTTTATAAATGCTCTGCTGTTCAGAATAGTGGTTGAATTAGGTTATTGATATAAATGAGTCTCATTAGACTCTGGCTTGTTCTGGAGAATAATCCTTAGGCCGGGGTGGGCAACTATGGCCCCTTTATGATTTGTGGACTTCAACTCCCAGAATTCCTGAGCCAGGAATTCTACACTGGCATATTTGGGGGATAAATGTAAACATAATCCATTTAAACACAAGATAGAGAATATTTACATTCTACCAAGTTTATCAGATAAATGACAGTTAGAGGAGGTAGTTGTGTGAATTTAAATTAAGAAATTACACATTAATAAAACAACAGAACCGCCCCCTCCCAAAAAACCCCCAAAATACCTGGCCAAGTTCTTCGTTAAGATTGGACGTACGTGCCATGGCAGCAGTGTCTGTAAGTTCATAATGCATGTCAATATCCTAATAAAATAATAATAATAAAAAAGCTGAAAAGGGTATTAACTTGTGCACACACTCCACTGCAATCTGTTTTGAGCAAAACATTAAGCAAGAACCTGTAGGTATGTATGAACTTGTTATTAACTAAACATTTACCAAAATTGCATTCCATGTGTGAATATTGAGGATAGGAGGAGGATACTTTTGATATAAAGACAGTCATAGGGCTAGGAGATAGACTTCCTCCATTGAGAATATGCATTAGACCAGCGGAGAAATCCACTTACTTCCGCTACCGGTTCAGGAACGGGGTGCGCTATGCATGCGCCTCTTCTGCGCATGCACAGATGGTAAAATAACCAGGATGTAATGACGTCCCGGCAGGTGGGCGGAGCCTCCCGCCGCCAGTGCTACCGGTTCGGCGAGCCGGATAGAACTGGGGAGGATTTCACTGCTGCATTAGACTATTCATTATCTGTCTTTGTAGTTTGTATTAAGAGTAAACATGTTTTTGCAAGGTCATAGCTTAAAAGGTTTAGTTGTACAGGATTTCATTAATCTATACCACTTAAAGCCTGCAATCATGTAAGAATATATTTTGTGATATTTTACCCTGCAATTTAATCTGCACTATTTTAACAAATAGCCTGTATTATCAAATATTTTCAAACAGCATATATTCTATTCTTGAAATGAATTATTAAAAGGTCTGCAAATAGCACAATAATTATTATATTTACCCAATTTATAAAATATGCTTGAATAAATTTAACAACTTCCAGTGTAACTAACAGGCTGATTGGAATTAGATTATTGAAGAGGATGATAAATGTCAGGAAATTGAGTCCAAAATTATTAGCTCCACCATCTGTTAAAACAGGGAGAACAAAGAGAAATCATGCATGAGTTATTACATTAAGTACAATAATTCTAGAAATTTATTTAATTAAATTTATTTTAAAAACTATATATAAAGCTCTCCTAATACCCTGGTTCCTATGAAACCTGCTCTTGAATCTGATCATTTGCCTTGGAAAGGAATCTGAATAGAGATGTCAAAAAACAAATTGGAAAATAGCAGTTAAACTGGATCTCTGCTAAGAAGACAGTGCAGACAGAAAACTATAAATCCACAATACTGTGTGCTAATGCTATTTAAGTCATTTAGCCTCTTTGAAATAATGCATGAAATGCAATTACTATACAGGGTTTCACACAATTTCTAATTTGAACCCGGACAAATATGTCTTCCGGTGAATTTGTATATGGTTTTGCAAGTGTATACACACAATTCTTGAGGGTACCATCTATAAAAAAAATCATTTAAAACCTTTAGTCAATATTAACCATAATTCTGTTTTAAACAGGTATAAATACAAGGATATATGATGCACTTATTTTACTTTGTAGACGTAAAGTAAGATATAGGTATCATTATGGCAGGAAAAACACACTTGTTTTAAGGGCTTACAGGTTAGGTTGATGTACCAGTCTTTGCCTTCGTGCTTTTGATTCCATATAGCTGCACCAATGGAACAAACCAGAGACATGGCAATAAGAATGCAGAACAAAAACAGAATTTGTATATTTGTAATCCTTTCCACGTTAGACAGTTTAAGAGGTGGGCTTGTTGAGTTCTGTGGAAGAAAAGGAGGGTCCACAAGTAAATAAATTTTAAATTTTGTATTGTATGTGTTTTTATTGTTTGGCTGTGCACCGCCCTGAGTCCTTCGGGAGTAGGGCGGTATAGAAATCTAATAAATAATAATAATAAATAATAATAATAAATATGACATTCATATGCTATTTTAGTTTTTATTTAATGTCTACGGATATTTTCATGCTTGGATTAATCATCTTAAATATTCATGTCAATGAATGATATAGCTTATTTTATAACAGCTTGAAAAATACGGCACAGTTTTAACTTGGGTGATACATTCCATTGGAGGTGCCAATAAGAATAGGAACAACTGTTGAAATAAATGCCAAAAAGATTGGCATTAGATTTCTGTAGGAATCTACAGAAGATTGCTGTATGAGAGTGTTGTGGCATTTTAAAAATTAACAAATGATTGAAGTGTATGTGATAAGAAACTTGATTGTCTTTTATGTATCATGGGATTCTGTTGTCCTATAAATAAATTACTGCCGATTTAATTTGACAGTAAAATAAATGCACTTTTATTTATTAATTTATGAGTCATATGTTTATCTAGTGAACTGAGAAACCCAAGGATATAACCTTGATATGTGTCAAATGATACCAACGTATTTACCCAATAATAATGATGGCCAACTATTTTTTTTGATCTGTATAGCAAGTTCATGGTGTTAAGTGTTCTTTTATGCAGGTAATCCTCAACTTATGACTACACTAGAGTCCAAAATTTTTGTTGCTGAGACAGTTAAATGAATTTTGCCCCATTTTACGACCTTTACTGCCACAGTTGTTAAGCGAATCTGCAATCTGGGAGACTGCAATTGCATAAATGTGAGTCCGTTGCCAAGCATCTGAATTTTGATGCTGGGGCTGCTGCAACAATTGTTAAGTGGGGGGAAATGGCCATAAGTTGAGGACTACCTGTATAGTCATGCTTCTAATTTATTATCCAATCAGGCGATCTTTTGCTCCTGTCCATTATGGCATAAACATAGAGCAGAAGGTCCAAAGACCTTCAACATACTTGGTTAGGAGACAAACCTGCATAAGTTTTGTATCATGTCCTGTATAAACAACAATTCCATGAACCCACTGTGTATTTCTGAGTTGAGCACCACGCAGAAGAATCTGGTCAGGCCCCAGTGGAACAGTCCTAAAAGAGAAGACAGAAAAAATTAAGTCACATTGAATCGATTGCAAAATAACTACTTCAGAAACATTAATATAGAAACAGATTGGGGGTTTTGGGGAAATTCTTAGGCACTTTTATTAAATGCAACTTTAAGACTTTTTAATGGAAATAACAAGAATAATAATAATTAATAAGAACATAATTTTAATTCTGTCATTGGGTATGTTATGTTTCTCTTTGCATTGTACACATCCAAATTGCTATTTTGTACTAATATTTTAAGGGATGCAGTGGCTTACTGGCTAAGACGCTGAGCTTGTCGATCGAAAGGTTGGCAGTTCAGCGGTTCGAATTCCTAGCGCTGTGTAACAGGGTGAGCTCCCGTTCCTTGTCCCAGCTTCTGCCAACCTAGCAGTTCAAAAGCACGTAAAAAATGCAAGTAGAAAAATAGGGACCACCTTTGGTGGGAAGGTAACAGCGTCCTGTGCGCCTTTGGCATTGAGTCATGCTGGCCACATGACCACGGAGACATCTTCAGACAGCGCTGGCTCTTCGGCTTTGAAATGGAGATGAGCACCGCCCCCTAGAATCGGGAACGACTAGCACATCTGTGTGAGGGGAACCTTTACCTTTACTAATATTTTTATAGTCCTGTCAATCATCACAACTGATCATTGCATCCAAAATTGAGTAACATCCTGATTTAATACAGGTCACACAATTAAGCCTCACCACTATTTTCCTTCATTAAGGATTTTTTTTTTGTAAGAGTGAAAAAGACAGAGGTAGTACATATGAATCAATAAGGCCTCTTGTATCATTAGGAACAGTAGTAGAAAAAGCTTTTCAGTTTAGCTTTTCATCTTTATTTGCTGTCAGTGATTAATCTACAAAAGGGCTTGACTTCTCTCTTCTTTTATATTTGTGCTGCTGATAAAATCAGACCATTTTTGCTAACCATTTTTGTCCTGGAAGCATCGTAAATCTTTATATACAATGTTGTTTCCCCTTTAGTTCTTCCTTCAATGAGCTTCCTTTTGCGTGTTAACGGAAACCATCCAGATGTTAAAATGCTGCTGAATCCATTGAAAGGAAGTCTTCTGCAATCTAAGACGACCCTGGATGGTCTGGAACCTATGCCAGAATCAGCTGAACTTAGCATGCCTCATTTCTTAATATTGGGTTTTAGGTACATTTCTACCGAATGGGAGATCAAGATATGCAAACCATTTCTAATACAAAATAATCCTCCAATCTCCTGCAAGTAACAAACACAACACCCTTTTGCCACAGAGACTTGGATTGTAGACAAAGGTTTTAACCTCAGTTAGTATTGAGTGGAACTAGTTAAAGGGAATAGAGAATACAGTATTAACCACATTTCTCAGAGTCTAGGCCGTTTTGTACATCCAGGTTATGTTTATTACTATTAAATTCTTCTAGATAGAAATTAAGCTCATGGATTGTAACATAAATGTTGCGGATTATGTATTTGGTGTGTGCTTTATGTTTTCTATTGCGGGCAAACACTGTCCATGGCCATCCATAGATAATTCCTGTTGTGCTTTTATGGACAGAGTGCCACTTAACAAAAATGTGCATGGTGCATGACCATTTATAGATATTCCCGTTGTTACAGTTGCTGAGATTTTCCAGCAAATTATGCTTTTGTATGTTGAGCTTTGACAGCAAACAGCCAAACACAAAAGTGTGCGTTGTGCATGTGAATAATAGATGCATTGTTACATTTGTTGAGCTTTTGAGCTGACAAATGCACAATTGTGCTGCTTTTTTGCTTGTTTGTTTGTTGCATAATTGCCAAGTACGACGTCCCTGCATAGAAAGAGATCTCAAATTAATGGAGGATTTTTCCTGTGGATTCACGAGCATTGTTAAAACTGAATATATTTTCCACTTCTTCATTTTTGGGTTCAGTTCTCTGCTGCTATGCTTTAGAAATGTTTTGGCTTTAGAAATGTTTTTAAGTATTGCTTCTATAGTAGGCTATCGAAATACTTACAATAATCCACTCTGCCTATTTTTCCCTATGTTGCATGATAGTTACTACTTAGTTTTGTTTATCAATGACTATCTTGCTTCCAAGCTTGAAAATTAAGAAAGCAACTGGCTTGTTTTGAGTTTCCATAAATAGTGGAAGTTTCAAAATGTCTCAAGTTTCCTTTGGTCTGAACTTAAGACATTTGAAACATTCTAACTGAATGTGCCAATTGTTTCACAATTTGTTTCATAAATTTATTTTTGTTTTGCATCAGCTCCTTTGGGGAAGGAGACACAAGCAGTCCTCGACTTACAACAGTTCGCTTAGTGATGGTTTGAAGTTACAACGGCGCTGAAAAAAGTGACTTATGACCATTTTTCACACTTCTGACTGTTGCATCGTCCCCAGGGTCACGTAATTTACATTTGGATGCTTGACAACTGATTCACATTTATGATGGTTGAAGTTTCCCTTCCGGTTCTATTTTGATTCTGATTCTCTGGCATAATGGGTGTTTTAGGATGAAAAATACTGGTTGAGGTCTGAGTAGTGGGGTTAAGGAATCGGATAAGAGAGGCATTCATTTTAAGTTGTTACGATTAGAAATAGGTCTAGGAGGTGAATGTGTAAAATGAAGAGTAAAAGCCAAAGCATAATTATCATTACTTGTGAGCTCAAAGGTTGGTTGTTTTCATGATTAAAATCTGTTCTGTTTCATTCCCTTTCTTTCTCCAAACTTTAAGGTTTGAACAATGATGCTGAAATAAAATGGCCAAACTTTTTTTTTAAAAAAAATGGTAGGATGAATAAGCACATTGAATTAATATTTACTTATAAAATGGGTGCAGGGGACGGGTATTACCAGAACTTTAAATAGCGAAAGTCAACTAAAATTAATACAACCGACACATATAATTTTTTTTTGTTAAAATGCAGCAATGAAAATATTCTTTCCACCAATATCAATATTCTACTTTTTATAGATTTTAAAAATATTATGAAAGAAATTGTACTCAAAGGTTTACATACCCGTGGCTGTCTAGTCTAATATTTCCAACAAAGTCATAGAGATGTCTGTTAGGACTCTCACATTCAATTTTGCCTGAAAGTCTCACCAAGTTGTCAATGTCCTTTATATCAGCTGTTAGTGGTAAGCCCTGTTCGAACAAAAGTTTTGATAATGCGATAATGAAAAACTAAGAATAAGTAACACAAGCTTATGATTTCCTACATATGGGTGTTTACATCTATTTATTAATTTATTAGTTGCATTCACCGGAAACGGTAAATCATATTATACCACGATGTGTATCAGCAAAATCATCCTGCAATTAACTTCAGTTTCACAAGCTCTTTTTTTCCCCTCAATTTCATATAATTATCAAGGCATTGAACACTGATTCATTTTTATTTAAGGATAAATAGATAAAGGATGTCATATTGTTTGGAGCAATAAACTGTGCCTCATATAAATTATTGTCAGTTAGAAACACAGAGACACAGAATTTTATCTATATAATTAAGCCTGTATTTTTAATTATGATTTTAAGTGGTTCATAATGAAGTTAAAGGCAGAATGGAATGATTCAGAAGTATCACTCTAAACCAAATACAAAATGCATGATTACGGATTAAACTTGCTAGTTGCTAATAACTGTTTATAGTTGCCACAATTCCATGCACGGGTGACGTGACAAATTTAAGACAAAAGCAAAATTTCAAATATTTCTTGCAGCCCTAAGCTGCATTCACGCATTTCAACCCATGTATATACCGTTTCCCCAAAAATAAGACATCCCCTGATAATAAGCCCAATCAGGCTTTTGAGCGCATGTGCTAAAATAAGCCTCCCCCCGAAAATAAGTCCTCCCCGAAAATATTTAAATGCAGAGCTGGAAATCAGATGAGACAGCAAGAGGAGCCGCATCTTGCTCCATGCACCTCAAAATAATAAGACCTCCCCAAAAATAAGGCCAAGCGCTTATTTCGGGGTTCAAAAAAATATAAGACAGGGTCTTATTTTCAGGGAAACACGGTATATACATTTGCACTAGCCCTAATTATTTATCAGCTGATAATGTATTCATATTTTAATTATACATTTTCATTATAAAAAATTATGTTTATCTTTTTATGTATGATACTGTCCTCTCGGTTTTCTTCCTCCCTCCCTGTTCACCTGCAGTGCCCAATTTCCCATGTAAGATTTTTTACAAAATTGAGTATAAAGTCAAACACCTAATAAAACTGAAAGCATTGAGAAGACTGCAAATCTAAAATTGAAGCGTTATTAATTTTTATACTTGCATTCTGAAAATGCACACATAGAAGGGATATACATTATCAATATTTTACAGGTAAAACCAGGTTACTTAAAATGCGGATTCTTCTTTATGTAAATAACAGACTAACATCAATGGTATGCAATACACTTTGGATCAGTGCCTACATCTCTTGAGGACTTAAATGAATGTTCCTATCCCTTAATGCATTTTTTTTGCCCTTTAAGATTCTGCTTTGTAATGTGAACTATGCACTGTGAATTATCTTGAAGCAATATACAGTAAGATAACAGAGAGGAAAAAATGTACTTCTTACCTGTCGTATTTTTAAATTAGTTTCGCCATCTAAATTTGATGTTTCAATGTAGCACATAGCTTGCGGTTCACTTATAGAAAAGAGAAGATCCATTTTATAAATTAAGCAGTCCAGAATCTATTTTCACTGAAATACAACATTGTTCTTTAGTTTATGTTATTGTCTTTAAACAAAATATGAACTAGTAATTTACATTTTCAGAAAATGACCCTTAAAATATGTAAAGAAAATGATTCATATTGACTTCATTAATGATCGGTAAAAATTCACTGATTCCAGATGTTTGTTAAGACAGAAAAAGCAAGCTAAATAGTTTGACAAGAAACTAAGCTTGCAATACATTGGTTTGAATAACGTAACTTCTCTAGTTTTTTATAAAGAAAGTAACACAAAATAAACAATTATGCAACATATAGAAAGTCTTTGACATATGATAGTAATTGAGCGCAGAATTACGATTATAAATCATTGCAATCACAAAGCAGGCCAAAAAGTGACTGTGCCTGATTTTGTGACTTTTGTAAAGGCTGTTGTTAAGTGAATTTGGCAGTTATTAAGCAAATCTGTTTTAGCCAGGAAATAACTGGCAAAAAAATGACAAAAATCATGGTCAACAGAATTGTAATTGATTGCATTGCATTGTAATTAAATGCATTGTATGAAAATACCACATCTCTCAAAATACATATAATGTTGATCTTGCATTGATGCCCTAAATATATTTAGGAAATGTTGAATATTTAATAAAGTTGCAAAGCGTGTCCATATTTAAACAAGAATTTCTTCACTTTACATTTATGTTTTAAAGGTCAGTTTTTCTGAAAATGTAATTGACTGATTACAAATTAGCATGCAAATTATTTCAGTTTTAGTATATGAAACATATCTAAATCCGGACATATTTCATATGATTTAACAAATATACACTGTGTTTGCAATCCTTTACACATCTATCTAGGGGTATGTCTGCTCAATTCAAACTAGTATAGTTTGTATGTATGTATGTACAGGATTGCACTGGAAAACTACCAAATTATGTACATATAATTTAAAATAAACCCGATTTATCAAATTGGGTTTACATTTGAGTGAATATTTTCTGAAGAACATTGAAAATAAATGAGTGGAACATCAAAGATCAGGAAAATATGTTTCATTACAGAAATTAATATACTTTGACATTCATCTCTATAATCAAATAAAATTAATGATGTCAAACAAAATGCAATCCAAATATAGAATCTTGTATTTAAAACTGCTTTTATTGAGGTAGCATGCTGTTCATCCATCAACAAATCCAAATGCATGCAATATAAAGCATGCAACATTTAGGTCTGTGCTGTGGGTCCTCTAGAATTCTCAAAATGTATCATTTGTTAACACCGAAATTGTGTAAAATTATTGAGAACATGAAGTTCTCTGTGGTATGATTTATGATCTATGATTTATTGATTTATATTTCATGTTTCTAGACAGCCCATCTTCCTCAAGGGAGTCGAGTTTAAAACTTTAGATAGCATCTACATAATAACTTCATCAAAGCAGTTTATTTTAGTCATTGGTTTATTTTATAGAATAAATCTGGAGATAGATCAACTACTTTTGTATTAAGTGCAATACTAAGCCTCTTGATTTATAAGTATGTCCGATTAATTTCGGCGGAATTTATGCTGAAGTACATGGGTGTTTAATTGCACATTCGGCTTTAATAATCATACAGATTACATAGGGCTGTAAAGTACTGTAAAGCGGTATATAAGTCTAAGTGCTATTGCTATTAGCTTAGACAAAGTTGAACATTCCCTTGTACTTCCATTTGAATGAATGTTTGTAGATAGTAAAACATTCTGCAATCTGTTCGCAGCAGAATCCTTTTCTGCCTCGGTTTAATAGAAGGACCCAGAAACACATTTATTCTAGAACTGATTCATTCTAACCTTGAGGACAGACTGATGAGATCAGCTGGGAGATGCTCCCCATTGGTCACCTTCACAATTTCCCCCACTGCAACCTTTACCAGTTTTGAAATAATAATTATAACAGAATAATAAATAAAAGAGGAGAAATCGAACGGATTAAAAAAAAAAAGACAGAAAGTTGAAATTATTATATAAAGCGTGTTAAGGAACAGTCCTTCCCCCCCCTCAAAATCTATTTAATTTGGATCAGAAAAATGTAAAATATTTTTACAGACAGCAAAAATAACCCTAAGATGTGGACATCAATTGTAATTGTCAAGCGCCGGGGAAATCAGGAGATTCAGGCATTTCAAATAAGTATAAAGATTTATTGCAAGCTTAAACTCTCTACAAGAATCTGAGCTACTAGCGGTCAAGGAAAATGAGTGGACTGGGCTTAGATCTCTTGTGGGTGCAGAGGGACTCGTGACTGATGACATGTTTGACCCCTCCCTCAGGTTCAGCCTGGTCATCTCTTACAATAATACAAATTCATGGTATTAGAAAGGAAATAGAGCATAATAGTGTATTATTTAACTTTAACAAAATAATAAAAGCAATTTGAAAAAGGAATGGAGGGAAATCTCTTGATTTCCTTTTCAAATGCTAGGAATTCCTTTAACAGAATTAATAAATACTGGAATTCATGGCTGTTTCACTATCTTAGAGAGGTATTCTGATATTTCTAGAAATTCAAATTCAGCACATCTACCAGGAAGGCATGATGTACAGTAGATGGAGTAGGAATCAAATAGCCAAAGTAACAAAATAGAGCTTCCATTGAGAAAGGAAAAGCCTATTAAAGCAAGAATTGCATATGGTAAAAATCTTCAGGTAAGGGTAGCAAAAGACTCTCTTTAAATATTTATATTTGGAGATAATGACCCAATCAAATAGATTTGGGGGGGAAATGTTTCATATATTGAGTTGTCCAAGGAAACACAGATAAACAAGATTAAATTTCACTGGGATGAAATCTAGTATTTTGAAATCTGAAAGCATGCCTTGAGGCTTTAAAAAAATAATTTAAAACACTACATATTCAGGAAGATGTCAGTAACATTTTGTAATGCTTTAATGTTAAGACAATGTTGTGCTGCAAATTAACATTTTATTTTCAATTGATATACTTGGGTGATAAATTAAATAAAACCAGGAGGGAAAGCTTCTGAGTTTGAAACTATGAAAGAAAATATAATCAGATGCATTGGAAAGCCCAGTGCACTATTCGTTCGAAGTAGGCTTCCTTAAGCAATAATTAATGTATTCAATATTTCAGCGGTTCTAAACACTTCTGTTTATTCTTTATTTCCTTGGTGCAATTAGGGATCAAAGTTGGAGAGAGAAAACAGACTCTATTCTGGAAGCATTGATGAACATCTCTACCTTGATGAGAGAAGTACAATGTCAGCAGGTATATATTCTTTGCCTTTTATTAAAACTATATCTCCAACATCTACCTGAAAGAAAACTGGGAATTGGTTAATGGTCTGAAACTAGCAGAATAATCCTTTCCTTTGCTGTATTTAAGTACGCACTGTGCAATAAAAGTAGTACACCACTTAAAATGGAAGTGACAGTATATAAGAGGTTTAAAAACGGTAGGCATTCTCATCTAAGTATTATTTTTCTCCCATTTAACAGAATGACCACATTCCTATTTTCATTTTACGACAGAAGGTAAAGCACCATTTCCTAATAAGAGAGTGATCTGTTTTGTGACTTGGTATGAATACAAAAGACGTCTTTATCGTCAGTCAGCTCTTTGCCTTATTTAGATCATGTTGCACAGTCTGACAGCTAATCCTCCAAGAATTAAAAACTTTATGAGTTGACTTCAATACATAAATTTTACTAATGAAACTACTATGGGCTTCTGTAGCACTTGTGTAATAACAAAAATATAACAATTTGGGAGGTTTTTATTGACTAATAAAGTACAGTATAGAATCTGTCAAGTCAAATACTGAAAGAGACACTCTCTTGTAGCTATGTAAAATTGATTACTAGAGTAACTTGAATAATTTCTACTTAGAAATAATCCCCACTTATTTCAATGAAACCAGCTTCTATGTGGGCAAATATATATTTATAGTTGTCATGGCTTAAAAATATCTAAAATGAATTCATATTTCAGTTCTCCAGTGGTCATTTTCCCACTGAGTAAAGACAGCAATCCATAACGAATGAAGGCACTTATAAGAATAATTAGAGCACTATTCTATGCTAAACAAGAGAGGTAATATTTTTTAATTCTTTATGATGATGCTGTTAGCACTATGGTTATATTGACACGTTTAAACAGAAAAGATACACGTGCATTTTGATTCGATTCAGCTCATTTGATTCAATGTATTGTGAGAATCCAGGATATTTGCTAATTATGCTGCGTGAAAATAACTAGGGCTGGATTAATAGGATAGGGAAATGGCAACTTTGAGAAGTATTGACATGGAATAATAAACTATTCTTTTGCCTAAATGCGTATCAGAGCATACAAATTAACCCTTTAGAGATCACATGCACATTGAATTATTATGTAGGCAATAAAATAAATCAGAACTTTCAATAAAACAATTAATGACAATTTAATCAGTATAGTAAAGATATAGTCAACAAAATAGAAAACAATCCTTTTAATGACAATATATTCAATATATTTCATTTATTCAGTGTAATTCACTATAACATATATAAAGATTTAGATCCAGAGTTACTCTTCTCGGGATAGAACTGCTTATACTATATCTTATGTTACATACAGGTGGTCCTTGACTTTCTGTTGTTAAGTGAGTTTTGCCCCATTTTATGACCTTTCTTGTTAAGTGAATCACTGCAGTTGTTAAGTTAGTAATGTAGTTGTTAAGTGAAACTGGCTTCCCCATTGACTTTGCTTGGCAAAAGTTTGCAAATGGGGATCACATGACCCCAGGACATTGCAGCGGTCATAAATATGAACCAATTGCCAAGGGTCTGAATTTTGATCATGTGACCATAGGGATGCTGCAACAACCGTGTGAAAACGGTCATAAGTCATTTTTCTCAGTGCTGTTGTAACTTCAAATAGTCACTAAATGAAACTCCAGTAATTCGAGGACTACCTGTAGTAGGTTATATCAGTGAATATAAGATGCTTTGATAATCTGTCATTTTTATAGTGGGTAGTGCAAAACGCTGAAAAAAGATAAACACTACCATATTAAATAACTTGACAACAAACATACTTCAGAACAATGTTTAACAAGCATTGTTGTCTGTTCAATTCTTTGGATCTAAATCGTATTTAAATTTTACAATAACGAAACCACATACCTTTTCCCAGTGTACAATCTCCCAGGCTCCATTTCTCAATACTGCATCATGAAAGCAACAATAAAACCACAAATGTTCTATTAAACCAATGATCAAAATGCTTTTCTACTAATGTAACATTTGCTCCAAGATCCAATTATACAGAAACATTTTATCCAAAAAATACAAAATGAAACCATGTGGGAACAAAAGTTTATTTTGTTACCAAAAGAATTCTGAATATAAAACCATTCATTTGTGCAAGATTTTGTCAGTCTTTTTGTTTACTTTTCTCCCCCACCTTTTTGGCTAAAGTGCTCTCTTTTTCAAGTACATACAGTCTTTGTCGAAGTATAAGACGCACCCCCCCCCAAAAGTGGGTGGAAATGTCTGTGCGTCTTATAGTGAATGTTGCCAAAGCCCCGCCCACCCGCCGGCCCCCACCCTTCAGCCATTTTAGGCCTCTGCACGCCCCATTTTTGGCTTCCATACATCGTGTTTTCGGCTGGTTCCAGGTGGTGGGGATTGGTGGTGGCAGCAATTCCCATCTGGAACAGGCCAAAAATGCGACGTGCAGAGGTCAAAAACAGGGCAATCGGAGGCCAAAAACGCAATGCACGGAGGTGGCGATTGGCGGCAATGTGCTATGGTGATCCTGGCAGCCTGGAACGGGTCTAAAACGGGTCTAAAATGGAGCGTGTGTAGGCCGAAAACGCGACACGCAGAGGCCAAAAACATGACGCATGGAGGCGGCAATGGGCTGTGGCGATCCCTGCAGCCTGGAACAGCTAATTGGCGGTATTCTGGGAGGCCGATCCAACTGCCGATCAGCTGTTTGTGCTGAATCAGGCTGCGATAACATCCGAAGCTGACAGGCTGTTTGCTGTTAGGACGTTAACCAGATGAATACCGATGGATGTTGGCAGGCAGAGGCAGAATTTTTTTTTTCCCTTGTTTTCCTCACCAAAAACTAATGTGCGTCTTATACTCTGAAAAATACGGTAGTTTGTGTTTAGCTACCACAATTGGGACTGGCAACTCAGTAGTCAACAGAAATGGTCACTAAGTGAAACCACAACTATGCTTGCGATCTCACATTTTACAATTTCTTGTTTATACTTTGAACACCATCTAGATTCACTGCTATGTAATGGGTGATCATATAAATCATATAAATAAATGAAATGACAAAAGTAATTATAAAAAATAGCTTTATTCAGAAAACTTCATATGACTTTGTTTTTACTCACTGAACAGTTAAAAAAATAGTTATATATGAAACTTCCTACCTTGTACTTCCTTTTTATTCACAGCATTATCAGCTTTCTGTCTTTTCTGAAACAAACCACATAGAATTTTACATTACTATTATGGAATACTTTAAATATTAGGCAAGTTACATGTTACAAGTGTATTATGACTAGGTTGACACAACATGTATAACAAATCAAGTTAGAGAACTATGCACAAGATACCACATTTGGTAATATTTTTGTGATTTATACTTCATGCAAACCAAGGCATAACTTTTAAGTTTTTTTTTTTTTTAAAAGTACTGTATTGTCCAGGCAGACTGCAGAGAGCATTGGTAATTTGCTATGGGATTTGTTCAAAATATTTTTGTTAAAACATCCTCCTCATGGCCTATAAAGATAAAGGTTCCCCTCGCACATATGTGCTAGTTGTTCCCGACTCTAGGGGGCGGTGCTCATCTCCATTTCAAAGTCGTCTCTGTGGTCATGTGGCCAGCATGACTAAACGCCAAAGGCGCACGGAACGCTGTTCCCTTCCCACCAAAGGTAATCCCTATTTTTCTACTTGCACTTTTTACGTGCTTTTGAACTGCTAGGTTGGCAGAAGCTGGGACAAGTAACGGGAACTCTATATAGATGGACAAATACTGTGGTATTTGGATAAAGAACAACATAGCAACAGCTTATTCCATTATTCTCTAAAGATTGTGTTTTGTGTTTGGGACACAATTCTGGAACAGGCAGTGTCTTGTTCTGATCACTGAAATGCTTGTACAGAACTAATAACATTCAATATACTTCTTGTAATCAATGCATTTGGAAAATATTCTCAATCTGGCATCTTACAATGTGAAAATATAGTGAAAATATTTACAGACCCCTCGCATCCTGGACATAAACTGTTTTAACTCCTACCCTCAAAATGACACTATAGAACACTGCACACCAGAACAACTAGACATAACAGTTTTTCCCCGAACGCCATCACTCTGTTAAACAAATAATTCCCTCAACACTGTTAAACTAGTTACTAAGTCTGCACTACTATTAATCTTCTCATCTTCTCATCGTTCCCATCACCCACCTCCTCCTACTTATGACTGTATGACTGTAATTTTGTTGCTTGTATCCTTACGATTTATATTGATATTGTTTCCTGATTGCTTATTTGTACCCTATGACTATCATTAACTGTTGTACCTTATGATTCTTGATGAACTTATCCTTCCTCTTTATGTACACTGAGAGAATATGCACCAAGACAAATTCTTGTGTGTCCAATCACACTTGGCCAATAAAGAGTTCTATTCTATTCTATTCTATTCTATTCTATTCTATTCTATTCTATTCTATTCTATTCTATTCTATTCTATTCTATTCTATTCTATTCTATTCTATTCGCAATGGTTTGGTTTTAACAAGGGAAGCAAATCAGGCTCCGCAGTCCACCCAAGGACCTGTTGGACTCAGCCTGCCTCTCAGCTGTAAAAACAGAGGCTTCCAAGGATTGAGAGAATAGCAAAATAACACAAGGCTGTGTTACTCTGTGTAAAAAAACTGAGCCTCACATCGGCGCCTCTCTCAGGAGCTGCAAAATACAGAAAGGAGAGTTGGGGTGTCGCTGGGTCCTGGAGAGGACTGTGGAGGAGGCCGAGTCCTGCTGAATGGGAAACAAAACCCCAAGGCCTGTGGGAACCTGGTGGGGTGGGGGAAATGGACAGAGGGGCTGCGTGCAGTATTTCTGCAGTCCCTCTTAATGCCCAAAGAAGTTCTGCAGTGGCAATATCTTTGAAACTGGGTTATTAGTAGCTTTTGGGGTGTCCGCTGTAAGTTGAGGACTCCCTCTACTGAACAATCATACATAAAATATTGAAAATGCTTCAGTTAATAAAAAGCACAGGAAGTGCTAGGCCCCTGGGAGATGGAGAAAATCTATAGCAGTCGTTTGTAGATTTCCTTCGCCTAAGGGCATATCATCATCACATGCATAGCATGTGTAAAATCAGAAATGCATGCTCCATAACAAAATGTGAGGGATTTTTTTTGCTTAGCTGCTAAAAAATTAATTAAAAAAATCATAAAAAATTAATAAAAAAATCAAAATGAGTATACTTGGTTTACATCCCTTTAAATTTAAACATGTATCTTATTTGAAGATGAGTATTAGTTTAAAGTTATGAAGGAAACATTATGCTACTTACAATATCTTCTATTATTTCTTTGACTGCTGCTACAACTAAAATAAATAAGAGAGGAACCAAAGTTGTATACCGTCCTGTTGGAGAAACATCTGGAATTTGCTAAAGCATAAAAAGAAAAGTGCATGTCAATATTAGTCACATTAATTGTATGAAAATATGTTCAATAAAATGTGATAACAGCAGAATCCACTTAAATGCTAATGAGGAAAATTTCTCAAATAGTCTCAAATAATTACAATGGTTATTTCCATTAACTATTATCTACCCTAGTTGCAATTAACTATTTCTTAATAAACATTTTATATTTATAATTTATTTATTTATTTTTTCAAATTTCTATACCGCCCTTCTCCTTTCGGACTCAGGGCGGTGAACAGCCAAGTAAAACACTTTATACACAAAGTTAAAATAATCACCAAAAATGAACTCTTCTAAGGCTCGTTGCCTTAGAAGAGTGAGGAAAATTCTCAGGGACGATTCTCACCCTGGTCCCCACTTCTTTACCCTCCTACCACCGGGAAGGAGATATAGAAACATAGCCAGCCGCACAAACAGGCTGAAGAACAGTTTTTATCCGTGGGCTGTCAGACTTCTGAATGAGAAATAACATCATAACTATGTAGTATGATGGACTGCAAGGCCAGCACAATGGGTAACATGTTCACACTGGTGTAATAGGACTGGGTGTTTTGTTAATATGATTTGTTGGGTTAGGGATTTTCTGTCTTCACTGTGTTGTGGGAGGTGCACTGAGTGAGCTCAACCAATCTCATTGTACATATGTTGTGCACTGACAATAAAGATTTGAAATTTGAAATACATTCCAATACTGATAGTAATTTGAGAGTTTTAGGCATTACTGATCCATCTGGACTAAACTGTGAACTCAGGAGAAGTTTAATGAATTTTAACTTAAATGATTTAAAAACTTGCCTGCCAATAAATCCCTATAAAATATTGATACCACTAATGGCCCATGTTTTTTTAAAAAAATTACCCAGAATTTTTATTTATCCCAGAATAAAAATATGTAACGTGAAAATGTGTTATTTAATCTCATTATCCTTACAGCCTTTAATACAATAAATATTACAGTGTAGAGCTAGAACCAAACAAAGCCTGACATAATATCAAAGTCACATAATAACTTTCTAGCTGAGAATTTATTAGTCTTTTTACTTGTTATATTATGTTCTATAGAAACACGGAGGCCAAAATATATGCCCAATTACAAAGTTCAGTCAGGAGGGTTAAACTCATTATCACATGACAGATAAGAAAATACAGGAGTTGGTCTTTCCTATACCACTAATGCTTACATCATAAACACTCTTTATTATACTGATCATTACACAGGGACAGGAAGAACTGGTAAAGCAACTTTCAGTTTAAAGTTTAGTACAACAATATATGTGTTTCGGGATATATTGCTTACATTCTTCAAAAATGATTTGGCAAAAATGCTTTGGACCTCACTTGGGTACAATACCTCTTTGTTAATCATTAAAGTGGGGTGACTTTCTCCCCCCCCCCCAGATTTTTGGGCGAGTCTGAGTAAAGATGATGCTGTGAAGGAATCAACTCATTATAAATTGAATGCAACTCTTAAAGCATTTTTTCACATAACCTGGTAAATATCAGGCTAAGTCCCTAATAAGTACCTCTGCTTCTGCAGGGCCCAAAACACTTCTTAGGAATCTTTTCATAAGAAAAGTTAGACAATGTATTTTTTTGTTTGTTCAATTTCCATGGCCGCCCATGTCAGTCAATCTCCCTGAGCGGCTTACAATTCAAAATATACATTATAGTTAAAAGTATTAAAAAGAGTTTTAAAACAATAAAACTGTATAGCTATATTGAGAAGAAAAAAATAACCTCGCCCTGGTTTAAAATTTCACTCCCTAAGAATTTCTAAGATTTTATCTGAATTTAAGACATTGCATAATGACAGCCTACAGCCACTGAGGACATTACAAACAATTTTATGACTTCTAACAATTAAATGTTACTGGAGGATAAAGGGTGGGAGGGAGGGAGCAGAGCACTTACACACATTCTTACCTGAAGCAATGCAATGAAAAGAAAAAAGGCATTAGCAGCTCTCCTGAACTGGGAATAGAGGAACCTAGGCAGGAATGTGATAATGTTGTATTTTGCAGTGCTAAGAGAGAGGAATTAAAAATACATGGAATTAAGGGAAAGACATAAAAAACAGATAAAATATGTAGTCAGAGTACACTAAGAGAGATTTTAACAGTTAATGCAGTATTTGTATGTCTAAATACACGTAACATCTTCCTCCTCCTCCTCCCTGCAAACCCCCTTCCCTTCTAGCCTGATGATCTTATTTGTCTGCAAGAAAACAGCCAAATTCAGAGAGCATCAAGGACCCTACCATAGCTTGTAACAAATCAGAGACATCCTGTGGGTGAAGTTTAAGGACATACATGGTTAAAGGAAGCACAAGCACCACTCTTTCAATGTGCACTTAGTGATATCACATATGCACAACAGGTCAGAGCTAATGATGCAGTGGCAGAACGGTGCTTTGGCTTTCAATGAGAGTATGTAAGATAATTGTACAAAACTTTGGTTACAAATACCTGACATGATTGCTACAGAACTTAGAGAATTGTGGTTGATTGATGAATATAGTTCTCACTTCCTCTTGATCAGCTAATGAGGTTTTCTCTGAAACATCATCTGTCTTCTCATAACCTACAAAATATTAAAAATCTAATATGTACATTTAAATTCTGCAATGATTTAAATGAAAACAAAAAGCATTTTAAATTTAAGCAGTGAGAAACACAAAAAACAATAGTAGGTACTATTCTATCATTTGTATTGATAAAATTAATCTTTTTAATTCCTATTTAAGGATTAAATTTTTTATCTTTCCCTGGTCTGTTAGTGACATGCTAAAGTAGCTTTTCTAGCTGCTCAAAGCATTTAAACTAAATATTTTGATTTGACAGAGAAATTAAATTTATTTTATTTTTATTTTATTTTATTTTGAATTTGTATACCGCCCTTCTCCCTGAGGACTCAGGGCGGTGAACAGCCAAGTAAAAACATCAAGTACAAATATTAAAATACAGTTAAAATATATATATATAAATTTGGCCCCATTAATTAAAAACAATAAACAAAACACTTAAAAACACTTAAAAAATTAGGCCAGGCCAGCTTGCTGGAAAAGGAAGGTTTTAAGGGCACAGCGGAAGGCACTGAGGTCTTGGATTCTCCTTATCTCTGGAGGCAATTGATTCCAGAGGGTAGGTGCCCCCACAGAGAAGGCCCTCCCCCTGGGGGTCACCAGCCTGCACTGTTTGGCTGATGGCACCCCGAGGAGGCCCTCTCTATGGGAGCGCATGTACTTTAAATGTTACTTATTAATGTTACAATAGTTGCAGCCTGTTCCAAGTTTAGTATACTCTGGTCAGGGACTTACTTAAAAGTTTTATATGGTTGAAGCTTGCAACTCCCAAACGTTTTCAGTTGTATAAGCAAAAAAAATTACAATAATGTACAGTTAATATAAAAAATAAATGTCGATAACTAAAAACATTAAAATAAAAAGTGTCAATAATTTTAGTTACGGACAGCAACCAATATTAGGTAACATCACTCCTCCAAAGTCTTGTAGAATATCTCAATCTTGACCGATCATGGGTTCTTTTTACATCCAATCCTTGCCTCTCTACTTCCTCCTAAACCCTTCCTTCTCGTGGAAAAAAATACTTCTCTCTTCTAGCTGATTTAGTTCAAACACAAAACACACCTTCTCTCTCCCCCACATCCTCAACTGTTTCACAGCCAAGCTTTTCTAGACAACTCTGCCTATTAAGGTTGTAATGTCTGCTACTATACTAGGAAGACTGTTGTACAGGGTGGAAACCACCAAAGAGACCACTGCCTCTGAGCCATTAATTTAATCTGTTGTGAATCAACGATACTCGTTTTAAACTGAAAGCACTTAAGCAAAGCACTTAAGCACTTTAAAAGTTAAAACTGTCACTTTGCGTGTAATAAGAAACCTGCTGGAAGGAAGCATAGTACCTGGAATATGATTATGAATATGGGTATACTGTAACTGCTCTTGCCTGTCAGCTTGCAGACAGTTGCACATTACACAACTGTGGTTTCCAAGTAACCTCCAAAAGCAAACCCATATAAAGCACCTTGCAATAGTCTATTGTCATGGTGATAAGACTCTGAGGTCCTATCACCAGGTTTTCCTGCTTTGGAAAAGAGTTACAGCAAGAGTACAAAGTTGGGTAAAGGCCTCCCAGGTTATGCCCACTACTACCTCTTTACCAAATAATAGTAGCCCTGAGTCTAGAACACTTTGAATCACAGCCCTGCCTCCTTATAAATGGAGCAGAGAGAAAAACCAGCTTTTTGTTGGGAAAACGGAATTCTGTTTTGTTAGGATTAAACTTGAACTTTGTTTTGTCTCATAGAGCTTTGTCCAGCTTCCAAATACCAGGCCAGGACTTCGGCCTACTATATCTCCATTGTACAGGTAAGTCCTCAACATACAACAGTTCATTTAGCGACTGTTCAGTTACAGTGGCACTGAAAAAGGTGACTTATGATTGTTGCAGCAGCTCCGTGGTCACGTGATCAAAATTCAGAAGCTTGGCAACTGACTCCTGTTTACGACGGTTGCAGTGTCCTGGAGTCATGTGATCTGCTTTTGCGACCATCTGATAAGCAAAGTCAATGGGGAAGGCAGATTCACCTAACAACCGTGTTACTAACTTAACTGCAGTGACCCACTTAACCATAGCAAGAAAGGTTGTAAAATGGTGCAAAATTCACTTAACAAATGTCTCACTTAGCAACATAAATTTTGGGCTCAATGGAGGTTGTAAATTGAGGACTACCTGTAGTTATGCAACCCTTAGCTCAACAATTAAAGAAGGAGGAGTTTGAGTCCAATTAAGCAGTCAACAGAAAAGTGAAGAAATATTAATCTGATATGCTAGCAATGTTTCACTCAGGCGTCACCTGAAGGATTAAAACATCTGAAACATTAAAAGAGGAACTGAAAAATTTTGAAGCTGGTTTAGGCCTACATGTTAATTTGTATGTTTTAATATTTTGTTAGAGGAAGCAGGAAAAAATTAAGAAAAATGTATTATTTTGTATAATAAGCAGATTAGATATCTGCATACTGAGATTACAAGTGACCTGAATAAATGCTTACATGCTAACTATACTCCATTGTGGACAGATACTTGCCAAATGGTTTAAAAAAAAAGAATAAATCTGAATTAAAGTAGTAGAATAATAGCTGTGAAAATGATGCTTCCTCTGAAGCTTTGTGGCAGAAGGGGGTTTGTGCTACTGTCAGATAATTGATAAGCAGCTGAATTAGTAGGAAATTTTCAAAATTACAGTTTTGTAAAAGGATCCAAACATAAAAGCAACTTTCAGCAGAACATAGAACTGGGAGAGAGATGAAATGTAATTTACATAAAACTCTCTTATAAGGACTATCAATACCAACCTTTTAGTCTTCAATAAGGGATCCTAAAAAGCCGTAAGTTCAAATTGAGGTTGTAGAGATAAATAACAGATCAGTACAACACTATATTTTAAGTACAAGTACAACTTACAACTCACTGAAAAAAGTAACTTATGACCATTTTTCACACTTATGATCATTGCAGTATCCCCATGGTCACGTGATCAAAACTCAGATGCTAAGCAACAGACATGGATTTATTATGGTTGCAGTGTCCCGTGGTCATATGATCTCCTTTTTACAACCTTATGATACACAAAGTCAATGAGAAAACCAAATTCTCGTAACGACAATGTTACTAAGTTAACAACTGCAGTGATTCACTTAACAACTGTAGCAAGAAAAATGGGGGCAAAACTCACTTAACTGTCTCACTTAGTAACAGAAATTTTGGGCTCAATTGTGATCATAAGTCAAGAACTACCTGTAAAAGAATACAGTCCTTTTTAAAGAAGTTGATAATAGATACTAAAAGTGCAATTGAAATGACACATGTGAAATAAAATCTATGTCCTAAAATACAACGTAAGCCTTTTTGGCTCTTTGCTATCACCAACATTCTGCATCCTGATTTAAGCAAAAAAATTTAGAGAGCCACAAACTTGGAAAAAACTAGACTCATTCAACTTGTAGAACTTCTACGGGGATGAGAATCCTATTAGAAAAGAGGCTTTTTTTCCTGTTGACTGCGAAAGGAATTCTTGTTTCTTAGTTGGAATGATATAGTTTTGAAAAGTAAAATAACAGTACTAAGATTCTAACTGAATTCAAAAATATAACTTAAAGCAGGCAGAAAAGAACCAGAATGGATTTGAGATCAGTAATTTATAAAAAAACATTTTGATGATGATTTGTGGTACATTAATAAAACACGAGAGATAAATTGAGAAATTTAGAGTACAAAAAAATTACCTTATAAATCTATTTTGTCACAAATACAAGAAATGTCACAGTAAATCATTCAAGCGCAATATAATGTTCCAGGCAAGATGACTATATATTAATGAAACAATCATGATGAATCATTCACAGGATGAGTTGAAGAACTAAGGCAAGATATATTTTACCTATTGTGAACCTACAGTCAAGAAATTGATTTTCAGAAAAAGTGGGAAATTTCATTGGGAAATTGAAATGATTCCTCAGCTAGCATTATTAAATACTTTTGTCCTACAAGTGCATCATTAAAACATATACGGTAATTGTTGATACAGTAGAGTGTCTTATGGTAACAGCTTAGCATTTGTTAGATTTTGAAAGAACTTGGATATTGCAAATTCTATCACTAGGAAAAATTATGGAATGATGCATTGTAGACAAATCAATGATTAAATTCTTGCTAATTAGGAAACAGACAAAATTAGACTCACGTATAGATCTGAATATGCTTATCAATTTGATAAATCCATGAACTACTGGTAGAAATCTTCTCAAAGAATATGTGGAAAATATGAAAACATATGATTCTCTTCTACCATAAAAATATGTATTTAAATATATTGCAACAGTGTATGTACAATTGCAATTTGGTTATCAAAAATAATGTTATGGGCTAATGTGCAGAAGAACAATATTTGTAAGAATGTAAAATAATATTAAAGTATCTTAAGTTCTCATATTTATACACAGACATAAGTTTGCATGTGTCGTAGAATAAACAAGAGCAGGGCTGAAATTTATAGTAGTTAGCTTTTAGAGTATTGTTCCTTACATTTGCATACAATACAGGTAGTTCTTGACTTACAACCATTCATTTATTGATTGCTCCAAGTTACTGACAAAAGTGACTTAAGACTGTTTTTCACACTTATGACCATTGCAGCATCCCCGTGGTCACATGATCAAAATTGGCACTTGACACTTGGCAACTTGCCTGTATTTATGATGGATGCAGGGCCCTGGGATCATGTGACCCCCTTTTGAGACCTTCTGACAAGCAAAGTCAATGGGGAAGTCAGATTCATTTAACAACTGTGTTACTGACTTAACAACTGCAATGATTCAGCTAACAACCGTGACAAGAAAGGTCATAAAATGTGGCAAAACTCACTTAGCAAACGACTCCCCTAGCAACAGAAATTTTGGGTTCAATTGTGGTCGTAAGTTGAGGACTCCTTATATCTGATTTCAACATTATCTCCCTCCAAACCAGTAGTAGATCATACTACAGATAGTACATGCT